CCAGTGATTTCATTTTACTCCCTTCAAAACCCACAAATGTTCTGGAAGAGCAGACTGAGCCAATAAGCGACTGCCTTCGGCTCAGGTCATGATCCTGGAGTCCCGGGATCGAGTCCTGCATCGGGCTCCCTGCTCAGCGGGGAGTCTGCTTCTCCCTCCAACCCTCTTCCCTCTCGTGCTCTCTGTCTCTCATTCTCTCTCTCTCAAATAAATAAATAAAAATCTTAAAAAAAAAAAAAAAACCCCTGAGGTTCCAGCCCCCACCCCGTGGAATTCGGCAGGCCTCCTGGAACGTGCCGGGTGGGGGCCTCTCGATGCGGGTTCTCTGCTTAGGCACGGTCCACATTTGGGGTTGGGTGGCTTTTGCTTGTGGGCGTGCCTGTCCTCACAGGGTTTCCACAGTGTCCTGGCCTCCACACACAGGAAGCCAGAAACACGTCCCACTGTGACAACCAGAACCGTCTCTAGATGTGGCCGCATGTCCCCTGAGGGGCAACAGCGGCCCTGGGGAAGAGGCCCCGCGGTGCACACAGCTCCGCAGAGCTTTCTCACAGGAGCCCCCCTATGCTGCCCAGGGCCACCCGTGCTGGGAGCCCCGCGGCGGACAGGGCCTGGCTCCTCATCACCGCTGAGCGGCTTTCCCGGGGGGACCAGCTTTGTGGGTGACCCATGCAGTCACCCCACGAATAGAAGGGCCTCACCCTTGGCTTGATGCTCGGCTGCCGCCTCGTGACATGTTGAATAATTCTTGAACAAGGGGTCCCACGTTTTCCTTCTGCATTGAGCCCGGCCCATGACATGGCTGGTCCCGCATGACCTTTAGAGCCCATAGATGTGTCCCATCTGTGACTGGGGGTCACCGTGTCGGTCCCAGCGGGGCCCCTCCTTGATGTGTGGCCCACGGACAGGGGCAGCCCCAGGACCGGCAGCACTCACACTCATCTTGTCTGGGCCGTCCAGGAAAGCAGCTAGACAGGTGTTCCAAAACGTCACCTTCCCCTGGAAGCCTCCTTAACTGTCCCAGCTGGAAGGGATTTTTGTCTCTTTTTGGCTTGTTGAGGGGCTGGGGCTGCCCGATTGGCCAGTCAGGACACGGCTCTGCAGCCAGGCTGCCCTGGCAAACCCCGACACAGCTGCTCACCCCTGTGTGACCTTGGGCAAGTTACTTCACCTCTCTGGGCCTCAGATACCTGCATTACATCGGAATAATCATCCTCCCGCCTGAGACAGGGGCTCTGCGGTTTAAACAGTACACGTAAGGAGCTTACAGCGGTGCTGACAATGCAGGCTCTGAGTTGCGGTTGTTGGTAATTTAAATTTTATTGTCCGGGCCCCCCCTTTCCTCCTCATGCTCCTTCATGTTGCTCCTCCAGGCAGGGGTCCTGCCTCCCACCGGCTCCCGCTCGGGCCGGCGCTGGGCGCCCTGACTCCGGGATTCCCACGAGGCCGGAGCCTGCGGTGCCGCGTTCTGCCTCCCACCTGACCAGCTGGGTGTCCCCCGGAAGGAGGGGGTTTCGGGTCTCCCTGGGAGACGGACTCTAGCACCCCCCAAACCACCTTTCTGCTTCCCTGGGGAGACCCGGGGCTCTGTCGGCAGAGCCTGCTCTGGTGATGCCGTTCTTCCCCAGGCTGGCGCTGTCTTGGGATCTCGAGATACCAGGATGGGCAAAGAAGAATTCGTATGCATTGAGAAAAGAGATCTTTAAGCCTCCAAAACAAAACAGAAAGCAAAACCCGGGCGTGTGGGACAGGGGACGGTGGTTTCTGTCCGCTCCTGATTCCACATCTCCCTCGGCGGGAGGGTGGGCTGGGCTCCTGCCGAGGGCTTCCGGGGGGGGTCCTCCCAGGCCCCGTTCCTGCACACGTCCGGTCTGCGTCTGTGTCCAGAGTTCTTTGTGGAAGGACACGAGTCCTACTGGACAGACGCCCACCCCAGTGACCTCCTCATAACTAATGACATCTGCAATGATCCTATTTCCAAATAAGGTCCCATTCCGAGGTTCTGGGGATTAGGACTTCAACACTGGGGTTTTTTGAACGGACCACAATTTAGCCCATGACAGACAACCGCGCTGCAAAAGTATTTGTAATCTGGTTTGTAGGACTTTTACTGGCACGATGACAGAGACACATCGCAGAGTGTCTTTCCTGCAGAGCAGAATAGCACGTGTGTGCGCACGCGCTTACCATTAGTCTTTACTTCTCTGGGCCTCAGGCTCCCTGTCTGTCTGATGGGTGCCCGTCCACGAGTGACGCTCTGACTCTGGCCTCACAGGTCACCAGCGCCTTGCAGCCACTGCGCCCTGCTGTCCACCACCTGCAGTCAGCCCGCGGGGACACCTCCACCACGGTGTCACAGCTGCTGCTGGGCCTGTGGCGGCCGGTGCCCGTGGCCCACGTCTCCGCGATGCTGGACGAGGTCGTGAAGCGCGTCTATGAAATGATCGACATCCAGGCGCAAGGTGCTGCTTTCCCTCAGTCCTCTCCTTGGTGGCGGTGGTAGGGGCGGGGCGGGTGCTGCAGGAAGGACAATCCGGCAGGTGAGGGGAGGGCTGACCTGTATTTAGCTCATTCTGGCTCAAGTTGAAACTCTGAGCTCCAAGGTGAAGGTTTTGAGACAGTTTTTTTTTTTTCCTTTTTTAAAGATTATTTGAGAGAGAGAGAGCATGAGCAGGGTGGGGGCAGAGGGAGAGGGAGAGATTCTTTAAGCCGACTTCCCTGCTGAGCACAGAGCCCAACACGGGGCTGGGTTCCATGACCCCGAGATCATGACCTGAGGCGAAACCAAGAGTCGGACGCTTAACCGACTGAGCCCCCCAGGAGCCCTGAGAAGGGTTTTGCTCCCACGTCCCCCTTCCCTCGGCTCGCTCCCTCCGGGTCCCCTCCACACTGCCCCATCCCTGATTCCCCTTCCACTCAAGCGCTGGTGAGCAAGTCCCAGAACAACTGAAACACGGCCGTCCCTTCAGTTCTTGGGTCCCTAACCTTCCCTCTTGCCAATCCCCACCTTTGCCAAGGACACTCTTGGCCCTAGGAGGCCCATTTAGTAGAACTGCATGACGTTGAACTTGGCAAACCACACAGAGCTGGTCTTGTTTCTCGAAGGAATTACCTGGTCTTCTTCTTTTTTGGGGGGATCTTTGTCAGGGGTCAGCAAACTTTCTGGAAAGGGCCACACAGTACAGAGTTTTGGCTGTGGGCCCCATGGCCTTGGTCTCAACGGCTCAGCTCTGCCCTTGTGCTGAAACCCTGTACAGTGTGTGAGCAGAGGCCCGGGCTCCGTGGAACGTTGCAGCCCAAGCTGCAGCTGCTGCTCCCTGGGCCGAGGGAGGACAGTTTCTCTTGCCGGTGGAACTTCTGTGACACTGAAGGTGACACATAAACGGGGTGTGCCAGGGTCTGGAGCCCAGCGAAAACTCCAGTGATTTCATTTTACTCCCTTCAAAACCCACAAATGTTCTGGAAGAGCAGACTGAGCCAATAAGGGAAAGGGCTGTCTTGTCTGTTCTGATGAGGCCCCCATCAGAGACCACGGGCACGTGCCTGTATCAAGCAAGTCGGGTTTACGACCCAAGGCGGCGAGAGAGAGAATGCACCAACAGAGAGCCTGGCCATCTTGTAGTGGGGGTCGGGGAGTCTACTAGTGGACAGTTTGGGTAGAGTCTAAGGAAGTGGGGCTTTGTTCTAGGTTGAACCCTCTCAGAGAGCGGACACAATGCTAAGATTGGGTGCCTCAGCAAATCTTGTCTAGAAGGAGGGGACCGCCAGCACGAAGATAAGCCATAACTGGTAAAGAACTAACAGTCACTCGTTTCAGCCAAGCGAGTGGGGTGGTGTTTTGCAGGTGACTCGATGTCTGTGTTTCCTGTCTGGCTTAGATAAAATTGTGCCGTGGCCTTGCTTGGTCCCACTTTATCCTGGTCGTGGAGCAGCCTTGTCTGGGCTGTGTTCTGCCAGACTGTCCAACTGTTAGAGGAGAGTGACAGGCCGCTTCTGAACACCGGGGGCAGCTCCTTTCTCTTTCTGGTCCAGAACACCGCCCATTGACAAGGTTTATTCTTGGGCAGGAGTTTCGGACCCCATTATTTCATGACCCTTCAGACTCGCTGGTGGCAGCAGTCCCCCCACCCCCAGCACATGGCGCTGCAAGGTGGGGGTGCCACATGACTGAGACGTGGGCCACCTGCATGGATGGACACCTGGCGGGCCCAGGGGCTCTCTAAGACAGGGCTCCAGAAGTCACCGAGACCACTGCCCGAGCCACTTCTTCAGCCCGTGTGACGCCCGTCTGGAGGTTAATGCGAATGACAAGGTGATTAGGGCTGTGACAAGTGTCTCACCCACTCCTCTTGTCAATAGATGTCGATGAGTGCTTCATCGAAGAACTCAGTGCCTGCTCCGGGAGGGAGCAGTGTTCGAACATGGAGGGCTCATCCCAGTGCACCTGTCACCCCGAGCCGCCGGCCTCGGCTCCCCGGAAGCTGAACCGCACGTGTGGAGGTGAGCGATCGGGCCCTCCCTGCTGGGGGAGGCATGGCTGAGGGAATCTGCTCAGGCTAAATGGTCCACAGGCCACAGAGATCCTCATGTCTTGCAGAGAGGGAATGACTGACTTGTGTTCCGAAGAGTCACTTAGTTCTTTCCAAACTACTGGGTCCCATAGTGGGCTATTCTTGCATTCGTCCTTGGAGTTAGTGAATGTTTGTTTACGTGCCGTTCACCGTGCTGGACGCTGGCAATAGAAACACGTGCAAATAGGTCACAACCTTTGCTCTTGGGAAATTCGGTAGAGAACACACCAGATGCTTGCCAGGCATGGCACGCAAGGCAGATGCCTGGATAGCTTATTGCTTAAATCAGGACCCTTCCGAGAGTGAAGGGGACGTGATCGATACTTACACTGGGACCACAGGAGTGACCTGGACTGTCCCTGTGACCACATGGTCAACCTAGTTGGCACTGACAAGCAAGTGTCTAGCTCTGGTCCAGGCGGGTCAGGGGATGTGACAGGTGTATACCGGGTGCTGGGTGTATGTGATTGGCTTCTGCCAACAAGGGGCTTCTAGTAAGAAGTGGCTGAGTTTTGAAAGTGCTGTGGCGTCTATCAGCAAAGCCCTGGAATCTGAGGGGCGGAAGGCAGTGTGGAGAAGTGGAATTGAGGCATCCGTTGGCGAGAAGCCCTTGGGACTTCCTGATTAATTCGGTGCAGGAGAGGAAGAGGGACAAGTTAGCAGGCCCATGTCCTGGTTGAACCATGAACATGTGGTGATTCCCGAGTGGGTCGGGGCAGCTGTTAGGGTTATTAGCACTGTCTTTGATTATAGTAGTTTATATTGAGATGGCGATGGAATCAAGGGTCCATGCCAGGTGCTGACCGAGTTGGATATTTGGTGCTGGTGCTCCGAGGGGGCTGCCCTACACGAGTAACCACGGGACGTCCGCGTCCAGGGGGCACTAGCGCTTCGGGCATGGGCACGGCTGGCAGAAGGGAAGGAGACCTTGGCCCGGAGTCCGTGCGGGACGAGGTGCTGACACATTGCCAGGGCGAGGCAGGAAGCACGGCAGAAAGGAGCCTCCAGCAGTCAAGAAGGAACCATCCCAAAGAGGCTCAGAGAAATGAGCAGACCCGGAGGAGGCGTGGACTCGCAGGAGGGCCTTTTGGAAAGACGGGAGATGCCAACACACACTTGTGTGCTGGTGGGGAGAGACCCTGGCTACTTCTGGCAGCTCTGGGACCCAGGTCCAGCCTTCCCTTCTCTGGGAGGCTGCCCTTGGAATGTCTTTTCTCCTCCCCGCGGGCTTTCCCCAGCTGGGATGATGGTCACCTGCAGCTGCAGGGCGGGGGGGGGGCAGCTGGGATGGTGAGCGGGAGACGAGCATCTGGAACCGCCAGCTCACGTGGAGGGAGCGGTGAGGGTCAGGTTACACACTCCGAGGCTGCCCGAGTGCTGACCCAGGGCCTGCAGCGGTCCCTCTCACGGCAGAAGGTGCTTTGCAGATGGGATTCGCTAAGGATCTCGAGCTGGGGGTGGATGGTGGATTATTTGTGGGGCCAGTGTCACCACAGGGTCCTCATAAGAGGGAGGCAGGAGGCTCAGAGGCGGGGAGAGGAGACGGTCGAGGGAAGCGGAGGGGGCCCAGGTGCTGTGCGTGGCTTTGAAGGTGAGGGGACCACTGGCCACGGAGACTGCTGAAGGCAGGGTCTGGATTCTCCCCTGGAGTCTCCAGAAGGAGCACAGCGCCGCCCACACCTGCATCTTCGACTTCTGCCCTGCAGAGCTGTAAGAGTGAATTTCTCTTGTTTTAAGCACTACGTTTGTGCTGATTTGTTACAGCAGCTTCGGGAAACTCATACACAGAGTGAGGTCAGGCCCCAGTGGAGGCGCGTGCCTGATGGAACCCAGGAACCGGGAGGTGGTGGGGACGGAGTGCAGAGGAGGGGTAGGGGACAGGGGCAGGACCAGGCAGGACCCACCCTGCACAGATGTGATAAGGCCACAGAGATTCTTCAGTCTTTATTCTGGAAGCTTGTAGACAAATACAAGCCCAGAGAGGAGTGTGATGAATGTCCACTGGTCCCCTGGGGACCCTTCTGGCTCCATCTCTGTCCCCATCTGCTGCCCACCCCCAGCCTCATTATTCCAAACCCCCTTCAGCATATCCCTCCATCTGTCACACTCCAGGGTGTATCTCGAGGAGATGAAAAACCCAAATACCAGATCATAGCATCCCTTAAAAACCCCAAACTACAGTTCCTTAATCTCATCAAATATCCAGTCTGTTGACATTTCTCATTGCCCCATCACCATCATAACTTTTTGACAGTTTGTTTGAATTGCGATCCAGGGGTTTCCCTCCACCTCTCTGTTTCTCCTTGTAATTGCTGGAGGATCCGGCGCCCCTTCCCCCAGCTGAGTTTCCCGTAAGCTGGGATCTGCCGACTGGCATCCAGGGGCCCTCTATACCTGTCCCCGTTCTCTGGATTTTCTAAACCACAGTTGGCTCTTCCTTTAATGGTGCCCAGATCCCTGCGCATCTGATGAAGCCAATGGATCCCTTCTTAAAACGTTCCCAAGTGCATCAAATATATGGGATGACAGAGCAGACCGACCATACTGAGACACGGTTATCAAAATCTCATGACCCCAAGTGGTGACTCAGCTGCCCAAAGCCACGCTGTCCCCTTTCATCCCTTTGGTCATCTGTTGGTTGCGGGACTTGGCCACTGTGTCTCCCCACTGGAAGCCTTCAGGGAAGGCGGCATGCATGGGGCAACATGTTCCAGAGATTCCTGGCAACCAGGTCCAGTTGCCTACTCTGGCACCGTTTTCATGGAAGACCCTTCCCTGTCACTTTCTTTTCCCTGTGTCCCCCTTTACTGCCCAAATTTCCCGGAAGTACCTGCTTGAGAATCCTTGTCTCAGCGCCTGCTTCTGGGAGAGCCCAAACTGAGTTGTAAGCTATGCACAGCTCCGTGCATTGGTTAAATCATGTGGTTCAGCCATGGGAGTGATGAGCCCAGATGATGCTTGGAGAGGCCACACCGTCCTGTGGTACGAGACTTCTGTGGTTTCCTCGGGCACCAAAGTCACGACCGAAGGAAAGGCTACATTCGAGTCAGATGCTAGTAAAAATAAAGATCCGTTTCTCATCTACCTTTTTGGACCCCTGACGTCTGTCTATGATCCCCATCCAGGTTAAGAACCCCTAACTGGGGGGCGCCTGGGTGGCTCAGTCGTTAAGAGTCTGCCTTCGGCTCAGGTCATGATCCCAGGGTCCTGGGTTAGAGCCCCGCATCGGGCTCCCTGCTCGGCGGGAAGCCTGCTTCTCCCTCTCCCACTCCTCCTGCTTGTGTTCCTGCTCTCGTTGTGTCTCTCTGTGTCAAATAAATAGATAAAAATCTTAAAAAGAAAAAGAACCCCTAACTGGGTGACGGGCATTAAGGAGGGCACGTGATGTGATAAGCACTGGGTGTTGCAGGCAACTGATGAATCACTGAACTCTACATCTGAAACTAATGCTGTCCTATATATTGGCTAATTGAACCTAAATAAATAAAAAAAAAGAACCCCTAATACAGAGGCACCATTAGATTCAGATTCAGATTTGACCTTTTCTTGGCAAGGCTCCTTCTTATGCCCTAGGTGGTGTCCTGTTCTTCCACGATGTGGGTTGTCCCTGTTCCTGCTGCCTTAGTGGCAGGAGACGAGTAAGCAGGACTTTTGTGGGACTGTCCTCTGAGTAAGACGGGACTCTGGAGGGCGCCCAGCAGCAGAGGGGATGACCTGATGCACCTGTGGTCTGGTGCGCTCTGCTGCTGGGTGCAGAACAGACCAGAGGGGTCGTGGCAGACCCCGAATCCCACCTCCCCTTCCTTAGTGATGGAACTGGGAGTTTTATGTGAGATGTGCCCTCCTGCAAAGACGTTTCTCTACCTCCTTTGCAGGTAGGGTGGCCACGTGACTCACCTTAGCCAATGAGATAGAGTGGAAGTCTCCACGGGAGTTGGGAAGACTGCGTAAGGGCACTGGCCCTGCTGAGACCAGGGTGGGCACGGCACTATGATGGCCAAGGCTCTGTTCGCCATCTGAGCCACATGGTGACCTTGAGGTTAGACCCTAGCGATGGAGGAGCAAAGACAGAGAAGGAGCCTGGGCCTGAGCTGCCACGGATGTTCTCCACGTGAGGGGTATGCCTGTGGGGGGGAGCCCTGTGCTGTGGACTTTCCTCATATGTGCAGCAGCTGATCCCGCTGTCACGGAGTTGGGGCAGGGTACCCGGCTGGCGATGGGACAGTGGGCACAATGGGCACAGGCCTCCCTAGGACAGCGGGGCACGAACTATGGGCAGGGCTGGCAGGACAGGAGGCTGCAGGTCAGGGTTGCACCTTGCGATGCCCCGGCACCTTCTCTCCGACGGCACAGCCTACATGCAGAGACAGGCCCCTCCATGTGGCCGTGCAAATGTGGTCGTTCCGGAACCTGGGTTATTACTTTAACAACCTGTACCAACAGAGGAAGGTAAAAGTCCGTCTTGGTGGCCCCAGCAGACTGTTTTCATTTCCTGCTGTTCCCTGCCTGGTTTTTTATGTTATTGAAATCCTGCTATGGATACAATTTTGTGTCCTACTTTCTTCACTCACCATTATGTCACATAAAGTTTCCCGGGAAGCCAACTCATCTTCATCAGTAGGATTTTCGATGGTTGAGTAATAGAGCGGTATCCCTTAAATGCAGTTTCGCTTTCCATGCGGTCACTTACCCGTGGTCCACCGAGGCCCCAAAGCAGATGACCCTCCTTCTGACGTAAGGTCTGAAGGTCAACAGTAGCCTAATCCTGGGTCACAACATCTACGTGACTGACCTCACTTCGCTTCCTCACACGGGCATTTTGTTATCACAAGAAGGGCGAGCGCAGGTCAGTAAGGTATTTTGAGAGAGAGAGAGAGAGAGAGAGACCACATTCCCCTAACTGTCATTACAGTCTATTGTTAGAATTGTTCTTTTATTATTCGTTACTGTTGCTAATATCTTACTGTGCCTGGTTTATAAGTTGAATATGATCATAGGAATGTATATAGGAAAGCACCCAGTATACAAGAGGGTGCGGTGCTGTCCGTGGCTCAGGCATCTGCCACCTTGAGAGGCATCCCCTACGGATAAGGGGAACCACTGTAATCATCTTCTACAGCAATGATATGATGCTCTTCGCTATTTTCCTCAAAGGGGAGGGGCGCATTTAGCTTGCTTCCAACATTCTGCCATGAAAACTAGAACTTTCATTAACATTGTGAAGTGGTTATGGAGCATATTGTTATCACTGAGTTTGAATTAGTCATTTAATTCATATTCCCTTTAAAGGGACAGATGAGTGAGGACCCTCCCTTTGTTCATAACAATCTCACAGCCAAGAGCTGCTTAGTTAGCACTTAACCCTCCCCGTAGTAAGCGGTTTATAGTCTCACCTCATTTCACCCTTAGAGCACCCCCAGGGGACACCTGCCCATATTGCGCTCATTTTCAGAAGAGAAAGGCCAGGTAAAGGAAGGTAACTGTTGGTACAAAGTCCCAGAGCCGGTTCTAACAGACAACCCTGTCCCTGCCCGTCACCCGAGGCCACCTTTCCGAGTACGCTCTGGCTGGAGGGCATTGCTCTGATGCTGGGTTATCTGTTCCTGATCCAGAGCCGCCACGGTGCATCCTGCAGGGACAGCCGTGACAGGGTGCCTGTGGCCCAGTGGCCATGCCCCTTCCTCCCCAAGTCCGTGTAGGGCCAGGAGTTGACCAGCACTCTAGAGCTATGGGACTTTTTCTTTGCTGATGCAGAGCCTGACCGGGGTGATGATTTAAGGTTCTTATTCACTGAGTCTTCCTGCTCTGCTGGGGGTGAGGGGCGGAGGTCGTGAGCCGATGCTGGCAAGTGGGCTGGTCCCCAGCACCACCCAAGGAGTGGGAGGTGTCCAGGGTCAGTCCTCTCTTACTGGAATATTCCATCTCACAGCAGAGGAAGCTCCATGGCGTGAGGAGGCTTGTCTCCTGGTCACTGCCAATGAGTATCTGTACTTGGCAAATGGTAGGCCCTCAACCAATATTTATTGTCAGTGAATGAAAAGGCATGTTGGAGTGGTGGCTACTCCTAGGGTCCCTGGATGTTAAAGAAATTCACCTGCCAGCCTCACTTCTGGGAACAAACCACTCCTCTGCTGTGCTTCATGACTTTGGAGTCTGACTAGACATCAGCACCACCCTCCATATGCACAAATGTGCCCACAAAGCTTTGCACAGGACCTCCCACAGACCATCCCACTTCCCCTGCACTGGGACCTCCGGGGGAGAGTCCTGTCCCGTCAGCAAGCAGAGAAGGTTGGAATACAGTAATTGAAAATGCTCTGGCTAGCCATCTGATATATTAGACTCTATTTATAGTTAGGAACGTTGCCAGCCACACTGTGCCATGCTACTCGACGTCCTGAGTTGCAAGTTTCCTTCAAGATAAAGGGCCGCTCGAGGGCAAAACATCACTAAGAAAAGCTGCACCCCCCGACCTCGCTTCTAATAGGCAGAAAAGACAAACGCAGTTTCCAGATCAGAATGTCAGAGCGAATCCCAATTGCTAAGGGGAACAGCGTATGTTTTCCATTTAGAGGCTAATATAAATGAGCAATCTGCTGGAAGCGTTTAGAGGTACAAACCCGTGGAAAATACAGCACAAGTTTCAGCTGCTTTTCTTGTGATATTAGTCATCCAATTAATGACATGCAGGGCAGCTGGATTCTTGCCCAAAAACCAAAGCCATCAGAAATACCTCAGGGCTCCCGCCGGCTAGTCCAAGAACATATTCTGTTTTTAGGATCAGGTGGAACTGTATTCAAGGTCACACTCACTCCCTCCGACAAGGTCTCCTTCCCAGCTGGAACCTCATGGCTACTCAGCTCCATGAAGAAACGTTCTCTTGAACCCGGGGCTTGGCGAGGACTGGGCTGCTGGAGGGAGAGACAGCTGGGGCCGGCGAGAAGCAGCCGTTCAGTTCACCCATGCCAATGCTCCTCACCGGCAGTTGGGCTTCTGACAACTTGATGCTCAGAACCTTGGCTTGAATCCTCAGCACTTCCACCTCTACAAGCTTCGGGTGTCCAGCTGATGGGCCCGAGGGAAAAGAGGAGCAGAGCCTGACCTGGGAGATCCCGGGGAACACAGGATCCCCATTAGCTCCAGAGATGGGTCAGGGGTGCCTGGAAGAAATGAGGGCCCAGACCCGTGGACGCAGGGAAACTGATGTGCGTCACCAAGACAGACAAACGTCAGGTCCTGGGTCTGGCTCACAGCTGCAGGACTGGGGAGACCTCAGGTAGCAGTCAGTGCCCTTGGATCACGCAGGGTCAAGAATTGAGCATTCTTTTCTGGGGCCACATTTTAAGAGGAACTTCAGAAAGCTAGTGGGCAACGAGAAGGTGTCCCGCGACCGAAGGACGAAAATCCATGTCAGGGGAAGACGGAGGGAAGGGGCCGAAGGATGATTTCCTCTGGGTCACAGAGGTGGGATCAGCCTTCGAATGTTAGAAGGTGGCCGGTGGGCAGCGCCGTAAAGCTCTTCCAACACGCGGCACGGCCCTGCCAATCTCGGCCTTGAAAGCTAGCGGAAGAAGAACTCAGTTCCTGGATGGCAGTGACAAAACGGCACAGACAAGGGGCCGAGAACCACAGCACCCGACCCTGTCACAGCTCTGGGGTGCCCCCGGGGGCCAGAAGTCCAGAGCCGGTGTCCCCGGGCCCACATGGGGGCGGTGGCAGGTGTCTCTCGGGGGGCTGGGAGAATCCACGCCATGCAGGTGGTCTCCATCCCTGTGGCTACGCACCCGGCAGGGGGATTGCTGGATCCTAGGGTCACCCTATTTGGAATGTTTTGAGGAGCCTCCGCACTGTTTCCAGAGTGGCTGCACCACATCCCCACCAACGGTGCAGGAGGGTTCCCCTCTGTCCACATCCCGCCAGCGTCTTATCTCTTCTGGTTTTGATTTTAGCTGTTGGGACAGGTGTGAGGGGGTATCTCATTGTGGTCTTGATCTGCATTTCCCTGATGACCAGTGACGGTGAGCCCCTTTCCGTGGGTCTGTTGGCCACCCGGATGTCGTCCCCTGAGAAATGTCTGTTCGGATCCTTTGCCCATATTTTAATTGGATTGTGTGGGGTTTTTTTGTTTGTTTATTTGTTTTTTTGTGGGTTTTTTTTTTTTTTTTGCTATTGAGTTGTAGGAGTTCTTTACACATCTTGTATATTAGCCCCTTATCAGATGTATGATTTGTGAATATTGTCTCCCATTCTGTAGCCTGTCTTTTCATCTCGTGGATGGTCTCCTTTGCTATGCAGAAGTGTTTTATCTTAGTCTGACGTTTCCCAGTGATGAATTTTGCTTAGATTTGCTGATCTCACTTGTTCTGTGCTTCACAGACTGCCCTCCCATCCGGGACTACGTGACCCTCAACGTCACCAGCAGCAGCTTTTGGGTGTCTTGGAGTTTAAATTCTACCCGGCACCGCACATTCCTCGTGCGGGTTTACAAGGGCGGGGAGCTCCTCCGGAGCTCCAGGACCGCGGGAAGGACGCTGCAGGTGGCTGGGCTGGAGGCCGGAGAGCTGTATGCAGTGAAGACCAGCTACCAGGCGTGCGGGGCCAATGTCACTGCCACGCTGACTGTCAGAACAGGTAAGCACACTTGCATGCACTCCGCTTGTTACCTGTGAGTCTGTGGTCCCAGCTTCGTTCTATTGGCCCCAAGATTCACATCCTCCTTCACCCTATTCTCAGGGCAGGGACAGTCGCTGGCCTGGCGCCACCCTTCCTGGCGGGGCTGGGGGCTCCGCGTCCTCGGAGCAGGGCCACGGTGGCTGTCTGTGGTCTCCACGACTCCCCTCGTGCCCCTACATCTCGTCCTGTCTAAGGGGGCTCAACTCTCACACCTGAGGTGACGTGGGGAGCCCATCTTCTGGTTAGAAGGATTTAACAGTCAGAAATCACAGAGAAAAAAGTGGAATAAAGCAAAAATGGCAGCGATTTTCATGCACTGAAAGAGCTTTCGTGACACTGAATTCACAGGGCTGAGTCCCCAGACCCGAGCTGAGCATCATGTGAAATCCTCATGGACCTGCTTCATTTCCCATGTGATGCACTTGACAAGCTAACGCAGAGCCCACCAAATGGTCCGTGAAGCAGCTTTCTTTCACCAAAACAAACACATTATAGGTGTGAACTAGGGATTCCTTTCCAGAGAGGGAGGCTGGTGTGGCCCAGGGGGCTCTGCAGGTGGCTGACCTTGCCCCACCCCATGACTCCATCTCCCCTCGGCCTGGCCCCGGCCTCCCTGGGTGGGAGAGGCCTCGGTCAGGTCTGGCACTGGGGACGGGAGCTGTGTCCTAGGCTGGCCGCTGGCTGGGGACAGTGGAGCTTCCAGACATGCTGGTCTGGGGACAGAGCCCAGAAATCACTGTGAGACCCTGTGGGGTCTCTGTTGTGTAGAGATTAGTGCCAATGACCGTAGCAGCAAATGAGTGAGGGATGGAATGAGCAGGCCTTTGAGGACATGGCCCTACACCCTTTGTTAGCCAATTTGGGGCTGGCCCTTGCTAAATTGTCATAGCTCATAGAATGGTCCGCCGGAGGGTCCCCCACCAGCCCCAGCCATGAAACATGCAAACCTTGGCGTATGAGGTTTCCGATTTCGGAGCAGGCAGCACCTCATCTGCTCATTCTATTTTCCAAGTACTGTGGGGAGTAAGTGGAGGGGGCACTCTATTTCCTAGGTCATCCCGGGAGTGAGGGCACACCCCAGCGCTCCCCACCCCCTGCTTCCTGCTGTCTCTCCTCCCCTGCTCCTCTCAGACCAGAAGTGCCCTGGGAACTTTCCCGTGCCCTCGGGAAAGTTCCAGAAGACTCCTGACTTGCCAGCCTTCTTTCCGCAGCCTTGGTTTTCTTTTCCTTCTCCGTGTGGTAAAAACGCTGTTTGTGTGCACACTGCTCTTTTAAGGAGCTTGATTCTCTATCTAATTAATTCGGCCATGTTAGGAGCCAGCCACTCGGGAGACGGTGGGCACGTTGGCTGTGGTGGGTACAGAGCCTCATGGAGAATCCGGATTTCCCGGGCACAGGTGGACACTGACCTTCCAGGAGGCTCCTGTTGTGGGCAGGGGTGAGGCTGCCATCACAGGGACTCTTGCTGCCCTGAAGATGGCAAAGGTCCGGAGGGGCCCTGATCTAGAAACACACAGTATTCACCCTGGTGACATTTCTGTGGCCCGTTGTGGTGTGCGCACAGAGCAGTGGTAGACCGTGCCTCCTGCCCAGGCTTGCCCACCGGGGAGGGGAGCGGCTGTTAGGTCATCAGGGAAGCAGACACGCAGCGGGACCGGCTGTGCATGTGGACTGCACTCTCGGCACTGAAAGAGACCTGTGTTCTCCTGTCTCATCATACTTGTCGAGCTTGGCTTACGTCCAAGCGAAGGGTGCCTCCCGCGCAGGGTGACGCCCTTACTGGTTTGCAGGGACAGAGTAGGCCCTCCAGGCGGGACTTCGGTGCATAGAGCTGGAGGGTCCTGGGTGAATGGGGCACATTGGTCACCAAGTAGGGGGGCCTGCATAGGGCCCGAGGAGGGCCTGGCGGGCCGGGCAGGTGAACGGGGCGGGAAGGCAGGAGCCATGCGGTGTGAGGTGTGGCGGGAGGGACCTTCAGACCTCACGTGTGGCGGCCGAGTTCGGGTTCCCTCTAGTGTGGGACAGCTGCTTGTGTCCCGCCCGCCCCTGCTCTGGCTTAGAAGTGTGTGTGTGTCAGGGGCTCCTTCCCTCCATGTCCCCCAGCGTGGCTCCCCATCCCGGACACCTGCCTCCATCTGCCATGGAGGGCCTAACAAATGTCCCATCAGAAGAAGAGACTTTCTGGGGAGCAGGGACAGCAAAGCGTGTGACTGTGCGGCACCGATTTTGGCTAATGTGTGTTATTGCTATCGCAGACGCCCGCGAATTCAAAGTCACCGTCAGGGTCCTGAACCGCAACGCGACAGAAGACCTGCTCAACCACAGCGGCCCTGAGTACCGGGACTTTTCCCGACAGCTGCTTGGCGAGGTAAAGCCAGAGCGCAGACACAGTGCCCCGTGGGGGCGTCCGAGGGAGACACCTGCACGCATGCATGCACCAGCCCCGGCGCTGAGCCCCTTCTCTGCGACTGCGCCCCCCCAGCCCAGACCCTGCACTCATTACCCAGGCACGCCCCCTTATGGGGCACTGCATCTAGATTTGAGACAAACCGTCTTTGAAAACCATGCTCTGGTTCAAATGGGCTCTTGATGGTGCAGCCGGGTTTTCTGTGGAACCTTCCACTGGGGGCCCTGGGCATCTATCTACCTCCCTGCTTTGGGGCGGCTTTGCTGGGGTGGCATTTACCAGGGATCGTGGCATCCGTCCCTCCCCGAGGCTAGCAGGGGACAGAGGCACGCAGCCCGGGAGGACCTTTGGGTGACAGGCCAATTAGAGAGCAAAGGGACTTGCTAAACCATCGAGAACCATGAATGGTCTAAGATTTTATCCTTCCTGCCAACTGGTAAGTAAGCGTGTTCCTGTCGGCTGGTGCTGGTGGAGGACTTGGGGTCCTGGGGTCAGTTCCCTCTGGGCCGCAAGTCCCACGGGGTGACGTGGAGGGACCGGGGGGCACTGGGGGGGCACACACAGTGGTCTGCGTCACAGCCGAGGAGCCCCGAGCTGAGGCAAATTGAATCTTGTAAAGGGCTGAAAGCAAATCTGCCTAAACGTGGCTCCAGAGAGAGACACTGTCTTTATGGCAGCAGACGTGAACAAATCTGCCCTTTGCTCTGGAGGGGCCGCTGTCTGTCTCCTGAGGTTGTTCACCCCCACAAACATCTTGGAAAGAGACTTTGGAGCCAAGGGGCAGTTAGCGCCCCTGCTTGCAAGATGTGTAGATGTGGGACAGGCGGAAGGAGGGTGTGTCTCCTCATTCACTTACCTGGTGATTCTTGTGCTTGTGCAGACATGGTGTGGGGTGGGGCGGGGCGAGGCTGGTCTCCCTCGCTCGGCATGCTGGTCCTGAGCACCTGCTTGCCCCGGTGCTTCCCCGGGGATGCAGCCAGGAAGGGGGGCAGCTCCAAATAGCCCCTCATGGTCTGTCTGTCTCACACACACATTACCTGCACACGGATTTTCAGGGCACGCAGAGTGGATTGTGTGTCTCCGGCTCACAATGGGGAGCCCAGTTGTAGGTTACTGTGGATTCTCACAAAGACTGACAGACCTGGCTCGGCTGTCCCTGGGGAGGCCCAACTGGGGTGCAGGGAGCCGGGGTGTCTCTGCTTGCCCCGAGAGGCTGGTTCCTGGGCACCTCCTCTTGGTCATGAAGGGGACAGATCCTGTGCACTCTCCATCCGTCACATGGGCCCCGCTTCCAGGTTTTGAAGACGCTGATGGGAGCATCTGCTCTGAGTGGCTGTTGTCTCTTCTCGGCTAGGTTGAAAACTCCTTCCCGCCTGCGGTGTCCGACCTGTACAGGAGAGGGAAGCTGAGGATTCGGATCGTCTCTCTCCAGGCCGGAAGCGTGCTGGTGACGCTCAGGCTGACGGTTCAGGACCCTGAATTCCCAGTGGGAATCTCCACTCTGGCCCCCATGCTCCCGCCTCTGCTGGCCAGCACGCTGTTCCAGATCGACCCGCGGGTGACACGTGTGCAAGGTCGGTTCCCCTCCACACCCAAGGCTGCCGCCGGCCAGCCACGCTAGTTCAGGTCCACGTTTACTTTACTGTAAAAGATCGATCAAGTACAGGAAATTCGTAGCCTTATTCTGTGTTCCTGCTTGGGATCCGGAAGCCTACCCGCATCCCGCCCCTCCCTGCTCCGGGTGGGAGAGGGACCCCAGAGCCCGGGGAGCTCACTTCCGTAGGTGGCCCAGAATGCAAGGTGGGATGGGGCTGGAGGACCCTGGAGGGGACAGGCACTGGGGGCTGACTCTGCGTCAGGGCCCAGCACCACTGCTGCCGCGCCACCTGCTAGCGTGGGCGTCTAGTTCCTTGGCTCAAACGTTATGTAATTTTACTTGATGTTGCCTTGAGGCAGGAAGTCACAGATCAGGGGAGGGGGAGAGACCTAGAGACAGAGAGAGAGAGGAGGGTGGGGTGGAGACGGGGAGGAGAGAGACACAGTCAGAAATAGAGGTAGAGAGGAGAGAAACAGAGACAGAGACAGAGATATAGACGTAGGGAGAGACAGAGAGTCAGAGAGATAGAGACAGGAGAGACAGAGACATGGAGAGAGAGAGAGAGTGACAGAGACGTGGAGAGAGACAGAGACAGAGAGTCAGAGAGATAGAGACAGGAGAGACAGAGACATGGAGAGAGAGAGAGAGTGACAGAGACGTGGAGAGAGACAGAGACAGAGAGTCAGAGAGATAGAGACAGAGACAGAGACACTTGCTGATGCGTAAGAAAGGTTTTGCCACTCAAATCCGGGGATGAAGTTCCACGCAGCAAAAGCACCTGCAGCCCCCGCGTCGGCAAGCCTGCCTGGGCCCTGTCTGGGGAGTGCGTGTCTGAGAGTGGGCTGTCACCTCCTTTGAGCTTGGTCACGTTCTGGCTTTGCTGTTCCACCCCCCCCGCCCCCAAGGATGCAGGGAAGGCCGTGGGACGGTCACACCTGGAGTCACACCTGGAAAACCCCTGCCTGCTTAGCCTGGGGGTCGCTGTGTCACTCACCCTCAGGGATGGAGATGGCAGTGGTCCCCTGCACCTGGGAGGCCTGCTTACCTGTGCTCAGGGGCTAAGTGCAGGGAGGCACAGGGTGCCCTGTGGGTGGGTCCTCAGCGGGCACCCGCAGGACCCGCCTGAGACGAGAGCCAAGCAATCCTCAGGTGACCCAGGCACCCGTTACGTGCTACTTCCCAGCCCTGTCCCTGTGCACCGGGCATTAAGTTACTCCAGATCTTTGCCAGTGTGTTGAGTGGTGGCCCCCAAAAGAAGTGTCCACCTAGAACTTCAGACTTGTTTGGAGGAAGGGTCTTTGCAGATAAAATTAAGGTAAGGATCTGAGATCATCCCGGATCAGAGGAGGAGAGACCCAGACACACAGGAGAAGGCCACATGGAGGCAGAGGTAGAGGCTGGAGGCCACAAGCCCAGGCACACCGGGACCCCCAGAGGGAGGGAGGCCCTGCCGCACCTTGACTCTGGACTTCGGCCTCTAGAAGTGTGGGAATGAGCCCTGTGGTTTCCCGCCAGCCTGGAAGCTTGTGAGGATCTGAAGGGGGCCTCCGAGAAGTCATGCACAGGAAGAAGAGGGTCTTCATCGCTAGCGTTCTAGGGCTGTTAGCAGGTCCCGTTACTTGTCCCTGTGAGGTTCCAGAAGCCCCTCTGCAGTTATGAGCCCCCCCGGCTCTCGCCCTATAGGCTCCCTGCCCAACGGCGGGCTGTTTGCTGAGGGGCGGCTGTGGGAGGCCCCCCAGGGCCGGGACCCCTCTTCTGCCCAGCGCCTGGGGCGGGGGGGCGCCAGGCCCCGTGCAAGGTCTTCTGACCCAGTGACCACTGGCTGCTGTCAGCTTAGCCTGCAGGCAGTGCCATCCCCCCCGCCCCCGGCCACAGCCCCACAGTGGAGATTCCCACTCGGGCAGGCAGCCCAGGCCTGAGCCCTCCCCAGGAGCGCCCCAGCCCCACGGGCAGGGAACCAGAGACCACAGAAGGCCAACAAACCACAGCCCAGAGAGCAACCCCGCCTCTGTGGCTCACACAGAAATGCTATTGTTGGCAGCCTCGAGCATTCCTGGGTGATTCGGGGGCTCTCGCCTGCCATGAGTCAACATGTCCTACAGCGTGGGGGGTCACGTCGTCATGACCTCAGCTTCTCCTTGAGGCCCATCTGTTGGGGGGAGGCGTCACTGGGTGGCCACGTGTCCTTGGTCTTCCTCCAGGAAGGCGTGCCCCTCGCTGAGCAGCACCCTCTTCCTACGAGCCGCGCCCTCCAGGGGCCTGCTCACCCTCGCCCCAGCAGCCCAGCTGGGAGGGGCAGAGCACCGCCCCACGCTCGGGGCCCCTGCCCGTGTCCTTGGCTGGCGGGTCCAGAAGGTGCCAAGGCCACCTGGCAGCTCTCACCGCAGACCTGCCTCCTCCCTCTGAACTCCAGACCCAGAACCACCTGGCCTGGGGCTCTCATGCAGCCCCCAGCGAAGCTGTCCGTGCCTGACTCTGGGCTTGCTTGCCAGCTGGGTGCTGGGGGAGCTAAGGCTCGGTGAATCACCATGCCTAAAAATAGCCACCCGGTGCTCAGTGGTGGGAGCTCTGCTCTCCTCGGGGCCCTGCTGCCCGGCCAGCCTGGGCTCCGTCCCCAAAACTCCTCAAGCTGCCTGCAGGCTGGAGGTGGGGCAGGGCTCCGGGAAAGACCAGGGGACCGGGGCACCAGGGCCCTGTGTGTGAAGGAGCCCCGGGCAGGGGGTGGGGCATAGAGGGGTAAGTGTTGCTTCAGCTGATGAGCCTGTTGGTCTTAGGGAGCTATTTCTGTGAGTGTCCGTTAAGATCACGTGAAGCAAAACTGAAAACCACAACAGGAGCATAGAGCACGTGGCTGCAGAGTTTTCTCTGCACAAAACCGAACTCGTGCCCTGTCTTGACTTCAATCCGGGCCGAGTCCGGGCTCCTCTGCCACGCCGAGCATGGATCGGGCTCTTCTTCCTACAGCTCTGGGGAAGCTGGTGCAGAAGGCTGTAGTGCCCGGTCTGGGCGGGTGCCCCAGCCTGCTCCCCTGGATGATCTGAAGGATGGATTCTTGGGGGTGGGAAAACCATGCCCCCCGCCCCCAGCTCCTCCTAACCTGGAATATAGCTGGAGATATTTATTCCTTAAGGTTTATCACACGTATTACACATAGCACTTCGTCAATCAGTCACATGTCAAAATGCAGGAGACCATCAGGTGTTTCCTTACGAGAGTGGGGGTGGCAGTCATCTGGGGGACGGGGAGAGGGGATTGGAGAGCGCCGGAGGAGGAAGGGAATGGGGATCCCCGTGAACCTAGTTTCAGGGTTTGGCTGATGCTAGTCCTGGCTGCCCCTGGTTGGAAATTCCCCGGCTGTGGTGGGCACGGTGCATGAGCAAGCACTGGGGGGCCCTGAGGGGGGGTGACTCGCTCACCTAATGCTCTTCCTTGCTCAGCTCAGGAGGGTTCCCAGTGACGTGGGGTCTTTGGGATTCTTAGTTTCCCAGATGGGGGAGGAGATGTTCAAGGGCCATTCCTATCTGAGTTGCCAAAAGTTCATGTTATACTTAACCAGACTCCTCTGGTCTTGGTTACTTTTCTTTGTTGAAGTGCTAAATGTTAGGAGATATTGGCACATCAGAGAGAAGGGAAATCATCCCATTTTGGGGGGTCTGGGAACAAAGAATAAACAAGAGAAGACTATATTCATCCCAGGGGGTGCTAATTGCTCCAGAAGGAACCGACATTCCCTAATCTTTGCCCCCAGATCAGCCAGCCAGCAGTGAAGGTCGGCACAGGCAGACGTGCTGTCTTGGGTCAGGGGCAGGCTTCTGGAGAGGGCTCTGTGCAGGGCCTCCCTCCCGGGGCCCCCAGACGCCAAGGGCACACCACTGACTCCCAGACTTCATCCCTCTGACTGTTTGCTGCAGAGATGCTTGGGAAGAACTCTGCTCCGTTGCTGTTCTGTTTCCGAGTAGCCTCTGGCCGTTTCTCACTGGCTCTGTCCTGTTTCTCTCCTGCCCACCCTGCAGATTGGGATGAGTGTGCGGACAGCCTGGGGCATGACTGCTCCCCCGCTGCCCAGTGCATCAACCTCGAGGGCTCCTATACCTGTCGGTGCCGGACGGCCAGGGACGCCAACCCCTTCCGCGCGGGCCGGGCCTGCGAGGGTGCGCCCCCACCCCGGAGACCTGATATCCCATATCCTTTCTAATATCCACAGGCCACTGTCCTGCAAGCTTTCCTTATGCATGTAATGCCCAGCAGGCTGGTGACGGTGCTCAGCACCAAGCCCTGCACTGAGCCCAGATCTAGAGAAATTGCCCCATTTCTGCAAGGGCCGGATGGATCCATCTGAGGCCTGCAAGAACGAAGGCCTGCACTTACGTCCTGGCTCGGTGGCATCCCGGGTGGCGCTCCACTCTGGCACATCTGAGAGCTCTCATTTATCAAGTGGAGAGGCCCGCCTCCCTCTCTGAGAGCACGTGGGGGGCTGTGGACATGGGCCCCACTAAACATTCATAATCCCATAATCTCCAATGACACAGACTATGTCCCTATTTGGGGCCCACCTGGGGGGGCTCTTGCCCGGGGGTGGCATCAGGTGGGCTTTGCTTAGGGTCTGTGGACCAGATGTCCCCTCTGAGAGTGGATGTGTGTCTCGGCAGGTGACGTGGTGAACCCCACCGGACGTGTCCTGGCTCCGGCAACAGGTGTAACAGCCCCAGCGCTCGGCGCAGAAACAACAGCCCTTGGCCGGGAGACTCCGGCCTTGTGGCCCAGCCCTGGGCACCCCTGGGGCACCCCTGCAGTAGGCCAGGCCCAGACCCCAGGGCCCCCACCCAGGAGAGGAAGCAGTGGCGTGGTCAAGCAGGACAGAAACAGCACAGGGCAAGGCATGGGGGAGGAGATGCCCAGCATGGCTCCAGGCTCAGTGACCGGCCAGTGGATGGCCAGCAGAGCTCCCAGGACAACCCCTAGCTCCCCTCCTGGGACCATGAAGGGCTTGCTGGACACCACTGGATGGTTATCAAGAAACTCCACCACGGAACCATCCTTCTGGCCCACTCCTACCAAGGGCCCCACAGACCACATCGAGTGGCCCACCAGTCTCCCCACTTGGAATACACCACCAGCACTTCTGGACCCCACGGAACCACAGCACTTGGACTCTGGGCCATCTGAGTCTCTGAAGCTTCCGGGCTGTGGTGAGTGCCTCAGATGGCGTGTCCTAGGGGACGCGTGCCCCGAGGCCCCAGCACACCGGGAATCAGTTGAGTCCCAGTTGGCAAAGCCTCACACAGTCATTGAGTCCAAGACCTTTGAGAAGAATCAGGTGCATTGTTCATTGTACGGCTGGGCCAGGCAGGGTACAGCGTAGCCCTGTCCCTGGCGGTGGCTTCTGTCTTGTTAGGACAGGAACCTGGTCCCTGAGCGTGCTGCAGTCCTCTCCTCCCTGTCCCCAAGCCTTCTGGTCGCCCATAGCAGGAGCAGGAAGTCAGGCCTCAGGAGGAGCCTGTGGGGTGCATGTATCCCATTAAGCACTGTGGGACATCCCCTAGAAGTGTTGGACACCCCGACATTTGCATGCCTCCCCAGCAGTGCAGGCCCCTCGAGCCTGGTGCAGGCCCCCTGCTGGGTTGACCCCCAGCATTTGCATTGACACCACACAGAGGGCTTAGCCATTGCCAAGGTCGTGGGGCAGCGCTGTGGGGGACAGCCCTGCGTAGGAAAGCTCCCACAGGGGAGGCCACACTGGCATCTCTGAGCTCACTGCGCTAGCCCGACCCTGGGTCGCATCCGAATAGAGCTAATAGAACAAAATAAAACTAACGTAGCTAACTAGACGTAGCTCCATCAGTGCATTCCCTCTGCTGAACGGTGCGGGTTCCAAGACGAGACTTTAAGCCCCAGTAAGCCAGGGCCGTCGAGCGCCCCTGGATCACCCTGCGGGAATGGCTCTGTGGCCAGCCGGGGCCCCCTCTGCTGTCCCCTCTATGAGTCTGCTCAGGGATGGAGGTGTACCCCCTCTGGGAAGAGCCGCCCAGAATCTGCTCAGGAGGTTTGCTTTGGGGAAGAGCAGGGACCCCAGTGGCAGAGAGGAACACAAATCGGAAGGGGCTCAGGAGGGCCCTCCAGGGAGCCTGCACCACATGCGTGGCTAGCAGCAGCGACTTCGAAGGACTTCCCCGGCTGGCGTCCCTGGTGCCCTCTCGTGTCCCCGAGCAGTGTATTTGATGTTAGCGTTTGGCGAGCCTTCTCCGGTCATCTCTCCTTGAAACATTGGATTGATTTCAATCTTCTCGGTGTTTCTATGCATTTCCCAGTTCCTGTCCCCATCGGAAGGGTCACCGTCTCCAATGTGACCAGCACCAGCTTCCACGTGGCGTGGGCGGCGGATCTCGCCCTGCACCCCACCTTCCAGCTCACCGTGCTCCCCATGCGGAGCCCCGCAGTGCACCTGGAGACCCAGGACGCAAGCCTGGTGCTGTCGGGCCTGGAGCCTGGTGTCCTGCACCTGGTCGAGATAGCGGCCGAAGCCTGTGGGAAAGGAGGTGCCAGGGCCCGCCTGAAAGTGAGGACAGGTAATACTGGTTTCAGAAATGCTTGTTGCCGCTTGTTCTTAAAGGGAGGGAGCAAGTGTGAGAACGATTTTCAGCACGTTCAGGTTCAAAAGAGCTGGATTCCTCTGTGAGCGCCAGGGTTTCTGGCCTCTTACCGACCGAGGAATGCTGGCTCCGCTCACCCGGAGCTGGCTTTCAAAGAGCAGCCAGGAGGCAGCGAGTTTCAGGGAAAGGCGAGGGGCAGACCGTGGGCAACGCAGGGGCGCAAAGCGCTCAGGACTATGTCCCCAGAGGTGGCAGCCGCTTGCTGCCCCGTGTCCTCGCCGGTACATCGCAGGAAAACACATGTGGTGCTGGCGTACTGAGCGTTCTGCACGCCCTCTGATTGTTCCCGCTCTCAGCGGACCTGGACTTGGCTTCTAGGAAGGACAGGTAGACAGTGGGAAGTCAGACAGTCGGATGGCTCAGCGATCGTAGTTGTGATTGTTCTGTGTTCAGATAAACCCCTTGTTTCTCCTCCTTTGCACCTGTCATCCAGATGTTTTCCCGAATGTCTAACTTGCTCAAACGGCCAAGGGCTGGCTGATGTTGCAGATGGGTCCTCAGATCTTAGGCAGCTGTCTCAGGGCCGACGGCAAGGTTCTCTAAGGTGGGGTGCACAGCCCTTGGTGGTGCCAGTAAGAAGAGTGTACAGCTTCTGTCTGTGTCCCTTAAAGTACTGATCAGCTGTGAGCTGGGAAATCAGAGGGAAGACGGTGTGCAAGGACGGGCAATGTTCCTGGACCACATTCTTGTACCCCGGCCTCCTAGAAGCCCCACGTGGAGGGAAGAGATGCTAATGGAGCAGGGACTGCCCTTAAGCCGCAGAGAGACAGTGCTCCAGGGGGAGGGAGAAGAGCATCAGGACCTCTGGGCGCTCCGCTGTGGGCTGCAGACTCGGACGGTGGTGGGGCAAGGCTGCCCCACGCCTCGGTCTGCCCAGGACACCCGGGGGTACATCTGTGGCCCTGGCATAATTACTGGACAGTGGTTCCTTTCACTATCAACGTTGTCCCTGCTGGTAAATCAGCCAGACGCCGTGTGTGCACAGAGAGCCACGCAGGGGTGGGGAGGCGAGCGGAGGGGCTGTTCTTGTTCCACAGCCTCCGGAAGGTGCTCCCTCTGGGCGCAGGCCATGTGCCGGCATCCTCTGGGGTCAGTGGGCGGCATCTGTGAGGGCCGGGCACCATCAGCCTCGATGTGATGTTCTTTCTGGCCACAAAGAAAATGTCGATATGGAGACGTGTTACCGAATACATGACCTAATGCTTTTCCCGTCACCTAATGCGTTGCCGCTCCAGACGTGTTTATTCTCTGTCCTGCAGCGGCCCAGAAACTCAGAGGCCGAGTCAGAATAGCAGATGTCAGCTACGTGGAGTCCTTCCGCAACCCAAGCAGCAGGGAGTATTGGGACTTCCAGGAGCGGTTCTTTAGGATGGTGAGTTGGAGAAACCGCCCCTTCCTTTTGGGATGTGCTGAGGGAGGTGGGTAGAATCCCAGTCACAGCCAAGCAGGCGCTCGGGACCCCTCATCTCCCAAGGGAGCCGGGCATCCCTCAGTCCGCCACGAGACACATCAGCAGGTGGGAGCCACGCCCTGTCCTCTGTTGGGTCCTCCTCCACACTGTTAGCTGTTGAGCGAGCTTCCTTTATCGAGGTGGGGCCTCGTGGAGCAGAAAGCCTGACGAAGGAAATGTTTTAAAAAATTGACATTTATTTCACGTATCCTAAAATTCACACGTTCAAAGTGCTTAGTGTTGTGGTTGAGGTTTTATTTGTGAAATTGTGCAACTGTCACCACTAATTCCAGAACATTCCCATCACCCCCAAAACAAGCCCCGCGCCCGTTTCCTGGGACTCTCCCCCGCCCCCTCCCCTGGCATCCCTGACAACCGCCACTGTGCTCTCTGTCTCTGTGGATCTGCCTGCCCTGCACGTCTCATGTGCCAAGAATCACGCAAGATGGGGCCTTCTGCATCTGGCTTCTTTCTCTGAGCGGGCTTCAGGGCAAGTCCAGGTTGTGGCAGGGACTTCACCACACGTTATGGCCAGATAACTGTCCACCGTATGGACGGACCATGTGTTGGGTGTCCATTCACTCACTGGGGTGCATTGAGATGCTTGCAGTCCCTGGCGAGCATGAATAAAGCGCTGATATTTTCCCTAATCTTTCTGGTGCTTCCCCTGCCATCCCACGCACACTCCCAGAGATGGTGTCCTTTTACAGGTCAGTCGGGGCAGCAACCTCCATGTTCTTTGTTGCTGGAGGTTGGATTCCCCTTTGACACATAGAGGATGCACTAGTCATGATCTCGCGGTCTTGTTTGTACCATGGACATCTCGTCCATTTTAGCTTTTCCTCACTCTGGGGTTTAAGACCAGGAGAGAGGGTTTGGCAGTGCCACCTCGGGGCAGAGCATGCTTGCCCCGAGGTGGCGCTGCCAAACCCTCTCTCCTGGTCACACCATAGCGTGATACCTGCATTCTGTTCTACACTAAAGGCATTACTAGCTGATGAAATGGGTCGCGCTGCCTCCAGGAAGTGTCCCTCTGGGGCTCCTTGGGATCTGGGATTCTGCCTTATTTGTTCTGGGTGCCCAGCTCCTGGCCCAGTGCATGGATTCAAGCATTGTTGATGGCTCGATTCAATGGCTTCTTTAGGTTCCGTGATGGTCACACATAATACTAAGCAACAGCACTGAGCATCGGCCCACAGAGCCCTGGGGGTCACATGCAGCAGCCCCATTTCCACTCAAATGTCTGGATGAATCCTTCCTTTTCGAACCATGTCCTCGCTTGCCTACTTCTGGAGACTATTGTTGGTTTGTCTAGAATTTCAGGATAGCAAATAATCATGCACCGTATCACATATGTAGGACTTTCGGACACATTTTGGGAGGTTGTGGGTTCATGTGGCACCTTGTCCTTTGTCACTTAAGTGAGGAGCCTGGAACTTTGTTTTGAGACTAATTCGAAGTGCAACCAAAAGTGACTTTAATCCAAACCTATGACAGATCCCTCTCTGTCCCCCCAGGACAGGGCTTTTGCATCTTGCCCGCACCGGCCATCAGATGTGCTCTTGGGGGACGGGGCTCTTCCTGGGACCTCAGGACCCACAGGCACTTGTGCTGGGCTTGGGACACGGCACATGGGCCGAGGCCCAGAACTGAACTTGGTCTTGGCCGTTTTGCTGCTGGCCAGACTCCCAGGAGGTGCCCCTTGGGTCAGGTGCCCGGCTTCCTCTCGGTGGACAGCTCTTTTCACCTGTGGTCTCTCTAAAGGTGCGGGCTTCCTTGCCAGCCGCCGTGCTCCGGCTCATGGACACGGGCGGGGTCCAGATGGAGGTGACCCGCATCGCCAACGGCAGTGTTGTGGTGGAGTTTAACCTGCTGATCACCGCAGACGTGGATGTCCGCGAGGTGTCCGCCGCGTTCCTCGTGGCCTTTCAGAACGTGTCTCTGCTGGAGGTGGTCGGAGGGGACACCTTCATACAGGGTAGGTGGAGGCCGGGCCCCCCGGAGACTCACCGTGTTCTGGAAGAGAGGCAGAGAGAGCCCAGCTTCTGCCTTCATTTGGAAGATGTCACCCCGTGCACCTCCTCTCAGGGGCCCCCCTGCAGGAGGTGAAAGTGGGGAGCAGATAGGACCCTCATTTCTCTGATCACTACTGTGTTGTTTCTGAAGGTTTAGGGGCTGGAAACACCCTGGCTCGAAGCTGCTCAGATGCCCAGAGATGCTGCTCCCCTTCCGGGGGCTGCAACCCATCCTGGGCCTCCTCTGCCACCCACATCACTGGGCTGAGGACGCACCTGTCCCTCTCTGCAGTCGCACTTCCTCCCAGGCAGTTTCCAGGGAGATCCCGGTAAAAATAATGGAAAAGAAAAGCATCTTCTCTCAAGTCGTGTTCGTCAGCTTGAGCTGTCATACCCAAATACCACAAACGGGGAAGCTTAAGCAACATAAGTGTACGTTCTCAGCTCTGGAGGCTGGACGTCCACGATCCTGAGGCTGGCTGGTTTGTTTTCTGGGGCAGGGTCCTCTCCCTGCCGTGTGGACAGAGGCTTCTCGCTCTGGCCTTCCCCCTGTGTGCGCACAGAGCTCTGGTGTCTCTTCTTCTAAGGACACCACCCCTGTTGGGTCAGGGTCCCACCTTTATGGGCTCATTCAGCCTTAATTACCTCCTAACCATGCCATCTGCATACGGTCATATGAGCAGCTGGGGCTTCAACGTATGCATTTTTTAAAGAGATTTTATTTATTTGGCAGAGAGAGAGAGAGAGAGAGCGTGCAAGCAGGGGGAGCGGAAGAGCAGGGAGCCCAATGTGGGGCTCCGTCCCAGGACCCTGGGATCATGACCTGAGCCGAAGGCAGATGCCCAACCAAATGAGCCACCCAGGTGTCCCAACGAATGTATTTTGGGGACACAATTCAGTTCATAGCACGTATCACACATGAAAATAAGTGATAGAAAAAACTTAGAGTTACATGTACAAAAACCATCAGAGACCATATACGTTATTTTTCTGGGTTTTGGAATGAGAAGGGTTTTCTAAGTTTAAAAATAGAAGGCAAACAAGCCCACAGAGGCAAAGGCTGAAATATTTGACTCTATCAAAATGTCAGCCTTTTATATTAAACAAAATAAAGGCACCATTGTGAAGAAAGCAACACCCCAAAACTGTTTGAATAACCTGATGAAGAATTACATCCCAAATAGAGGGAGAGATCCCACACGTCGATAATAAGGTACTATGAACATGCACTGATCTTTATGACAAAGATAAATGCACGCCAGACCTGAACAGAGAACGCAGGACAGAAGAGACACAAATGAGTAGCAAAGAGCAATAATCACAGACATTCCCACTGAAAGGGGCCACTCATGTCCATCTGGGAGCAGTGGGGTTTTAACCAGAAACACCTAACACTGGCCAGAGTGGGCCAAAGCGGGCCTCGCGGTGGGAACAGGATTTGCTCAAACTTCCTGGAAATCAATTTGACGATATTCACCAAGAGCTTTACAGATGTCCACCTGCTTTGGTCTGGGAACATCACGCGCAGGACTTCAGCCTACAGAAATAACCTCAGTTTGGACCATAGTTCATAGGCAAAGATACCCACCCTCAGTGTTACTTTAAAAAGTAGAAGATTGTAAGTGGCCGGCAGTCCTGTAATAGGGGGGATATTAAGTAAGCCATGGCCCATCCGTGCCATGGACTGCCATGCAATTATTTTAAAAGTGAGGCTCGATAAGACAGGAAATACTCCTGAAACAGGGGTTAGGGAAGAAAGCAGGACTTGCGTGTGTGGGGAAAGCATGACCCGAGCTGTGTCACCATCTGTGGGTTTTTTTTTTTTTTTTTGATGCAGTGTTCCATGATTCATTGTTTGTGCATAACACCCAGTGCTCCACGCAGAATGTGCCCTCTTTAATACCCATCACCAGGCTAACCCATCCCCCCACCCCCTCCCCTCTAGAACCCTCAGTTTGTTTTTCAGAGTCCATCGTCTCTCCTGGTTCGTCTCCCCCTCCGACTTACTCCCCTTCATTCTTCCCCTCCTGCTATCTTCTCCTTCTTCTTCTTTTTTTTTCTTAACATATATTGCATTATTTGTTTCAGAGGTACAGGTCTGTGATTCATCAGTCTTGTACAATTCACAGCGCTCACCATAGCACATACCCTCCCCAATGTCTATCACCCAGCCACCCACCCCCCACCACCCCAGCAACACTCAGTTTGTTTCCTGAGATTAAGAATTCCTCGTATCAGTGAGGTCATATGATACATGTCTTTCTCTGTGTTTTAAAGGACCAGAATCACTGTGCAAACTGTTCTTTGCGGGAGGTGGCCTTAGGTGTGGATTGTGCTGTTTGCTAGGCTGGCCCGATTTTTACCCATTTTCTGCAGTAAACCTGTATCACTGTGCATACGAGTAGCTGAGCGTAGAGACCCAAGCAAGCAGTGAGCGTTGGGCCTTCTGCGGGGACGGGCTTGCCACGGGGGTGCTTAGGCCTGAGGCCAGGGGCTGGGGCTGGGGCTATGGGCCTGCTCGTCCCCTGAGGAGCTGCTCTGTGCCCTGCCCTGCCCCCTGGGGACCAGGAACCCTCCTTCCCCAGCGGCCCCCGGAGGCGTCCAGACACTGGCCGAGAAGCAGGTGCCTCCCTGTCTCCCGGACTGGCCAGGTTTGCGGTCACTCCGTAATTTTCAACTCCGCTGCCCAAGATGTGGGGGGGCGGGGGGGCCGTGTGAATAGCAGCACGGAAGTGCCCTCGGGCCCCATGACCCCGTGACCATGTCCTGTCTTGTCTCTGATGTCGCGCAGATTACGACGAGTGTGAGAACCAGGAGCATGACTGTGAACCGGGTGCGTCCTGCCGCAACACTCTGGGCTCTTTCACCTGCAGCTGCACAGGCGGCGCCCCCCGCTTCCCTGTGGAATATTCTGGAAGACCCTGTGAAGGTGAGATTCCCATAATCCCTTTTCCGAGATACTGTCGGGTGATCTGTGTCCTTAAGGACGTTCGTTCGCAAAGTGCTTCCTTTCCAAACGAGGCCAGCGTATTTTCCTGTCCTGGACGCGTTTTCTAACGTGCGTGCATGCGTGTACATGCACACGTATGTGTCCCTTCACGCTCTCCCATGCGTCCCCAACCTCCTGGGTGGCACCGCATATCTCCAAGTGCCTCTGGGGAGAAACCACACACGTAAGGTCCACCGTGTTCTCTCAGATTCTAGAAGATGACCCCCCCAAGCCTACAACCCATGTGATAGGCAACACGCGGGAAATGTTTCTGCTCGGCCCTGTCTTTCCACCCAGGACTTTTCCCATTAAATGGGGCCTCAGTGGATTCAGCACTGACCCTGAGGTGACCCTTGCCATCCAGGGATCTGTGGTCAAGTGAAGCGAGACAGACGTTTATACAAGTAAACACTTGTCACCGGGAATATGGAATGTGTTCTGCTTGAGGTAGAAGCAGGGGGCTCAGAGGGATTAAGTTGTTGCAGCCTCATGAGTGTGGTCAGGGAGGGCTTCCTGGAAGAGGTGTCTTGGAGCCGGTCTTAAAGGACAGCTAGGACAGCACTAGGCAGAGGGAGCTGCAGTGGAGCAGGGGAGGCTGGGTCCATGCAGCAGTGAGAACAGAGCTCCTGATGGTGCACATGGTCCAGGCGCAGTTTGGGCTGGCTGAAACTTGGGCACCTTCAGGAGATGGGTGGGAGAGAGCGGGAAGCCGGCTGCCAAGAAGTAGGTGAGGCCAGATGAGAAGGCAGTGAATGCCACAAGCAGAGGTTTGGACTGCATCTTGGAGATGAAGGAGCTAGGCAGTGGGCGAGCCCGACCTTGAGGGAAGAGAAGACAGGTGCCATGGTGGCAGGTGATAGAGCTGGGCCCAGGGAGCGGGCTGGGCTGCGTCCCAGGTCTGCTTTGTGCAGACTAGGGAGAAAGCCCTCGGAGAACCCTGCAGGTCTTTATAGGGTGTCTGCGTTCCGGTGGAGGTTGAAAAACCATGCTTTGGGGGAAGCAGGAAGCTGGGGACTCAGGATCCTGAGAGTAAACATCATTAACTCACCTTAGAGATTAGAGGGCTTGTCACAGCAAGTCCACAGGTTCGGCCCACAATGGCGTCAGCCTGAGAGAGGCCGGGGGCGGGGGGCAGAGGGCACCTTGGTCTCCTGGCCCACGGGGGCCCCCGGCAAGCCAAGCCAGGCCCCGCTGGATGGCTGGCAGGAATGTGGTGCCGGGGTGTGACTGTGGCCAGAATGTGCAGGCCAGGTGTGTGCTGCTATTCCCATCTGCCCTCCCCCCTGTCCCCCTGCCCTCCCCCAACCCAGGCGGGCCGCACAGGCCAGGCTCAGGTGGCAGTCCCTAAACACCGACCCGCTCTTGGGTTTCATCTCCTTGTGCCTTGCAGGTGACTTCCCTGGCAACACAACCCAGGCTCCCGGCCCCTTTCTGGGCCCTGGCCCGGAGCAGCTCCCCACCCCAGCAGGACCCAGGGCTGCCTCTGTGCCGGGTGCCAGCCAGGGCCCCCACGACCCGCCCCAGCGGCTGAAACTGACCGAGGCGGTCAGGGTGCTCTGCGAGATTGAGAAGGTGGCCATCGCCATCCAGAGGCACTTCCTGCAGCAGGAATCCATCCCCGAGTCTTCCCTGTACCTGGGACACCCATCCTGCAACGTGAGCGACCACAACAGCACGCATGTGCTCCTGGTGGCCGGGTGGACCGAGTGCGGAACCGTTGTGCAAAGTGTAAGGGCTGGGGAGCCAGGCTCGGGTGCACACAGGGTGGGGGGGCAGTGCATCGAGCATCAGGAGCACCAGGTGGGGAGGACCCACAACTGTCCCAGGGGACCAGGGAAGACTCTGCACCCACGGTCTCTGACTCTAAGTGGGGGACCCAAGAAATGGGGACAGGGTAGGGCAAGTTCTTACCAGGGACCAGACTGTGCCCTGGAATCAGGAGAGAGTTTTGAGCTCTGCCCTGTGGGATTCTGGTGCAAAGGGCCTGGGGTCGACCTCAGGGGTTAAAGAATACTTCCAGCGATTCCGAAGCGTAGGCAGGATGGACAGCCAGTGGGAGAGGAAAAAGGGAGGAAAGCGAAGTGTGTTAACATGAGTGTCCAGGTGTGCATATGTGTGAGAACGTGCGTGTGTGTAGGTGAGTGTGTGTGAATGAGCACATATGTGAGTGTGTGCATGTTTGTGTACGCTGGGCAAGTGGGGTGGTGTGATCAGAAGGACCTGGCCAGCAGGACTGTGGGCCTGCGAGTAATTGCCTTCACTGCAGAGTCCTTGACAGGTGCAGGGTCCTCCCTCGGCCCGCACAGAGAGAAGTCCAGCTAGGCGTGGGCCCCCCAGCTGGAGGCACCTCCTGTCTCATGTGCAGGGTGAGCTCTGGGCCCATGTGAGCTCCCCTGGTCTGTGCACCCCCACACCCCATGAGCTGGGCTGACCTGCTCCAGGCCCTGATTCTTCCCAGGTCGGCTCTAGGTCACAGTTAAGACTCCTGTGTCCCTCTTTCCTCTGTCCTCCCCCCAGTGTGTGCACTGAGCCGCCGGGAGGAGGGCATCAGCATCCTCCGTGAGCCCCGCCTCACTGGGCATGGTGGCCCCCTGAGAAATGTGCACCCCTTGGGACAGGACGTGTGGAAACCAACATGGTCCCCAGATGCGTGTGGGGACGACTGTGTGCACAGCCAGGGGACACGTGACAGTGGCTGGGTGAGGGGGCCAGAAAGCTGGGGGGATGTGAGGAGGTGGAAGGTGTCTGCATGGTTCTGGGGGATGGGGCAGCTGGACCCTGGGTTGGGGGGTGTGCGTGGAAGGGCTGGTGTTGTGGGGAGGGGCTGGGAGATGGTCTCAGCAGGGGGCCGGTGTGGCAATGGGGACAGGGAGGTTGTCCTCATTAGGGAAGTTGGTCCACTGGGCAGGGATTCAGGAACCCAGACTTCAGCCCTAAGAACATTGTGATGGCAATTCGAGGCCTTGTTTCCTAGAATGGGGTGGGGAAAGGTCACCCCATGGACCCGCGGGCTGGTGTTCTGTGTGCCTGGTGATGGTTAGGTCCCAGTATCCACGTTTAACCAATGGGATCTGGAGGCTCAGCAAGGTCAACGGGGGGTCAAGGTTGCCCTGCCTCCAAGGACCAGCCCTATGGCCTCCGTGACTCTGCCTTTCCAGGGGCCTTATGGGTACAAGGAAGGCAAAGGCCCTGCATGCAGATACTTCTGGCTGGAGCCTGGTCCCTGCTCCTCCGTGGGGACATGTGGGCCCCGGGCACAGGCTGGGCTGAGCTGACAGATAATATGCCAGATGAGGTGCAGGCGTGCCAGGGGCCAGGTGCTAGGGCTGCAGGGTCAGCGCAGACCTGGACGTGTGGGGGGCCACGGCAGAGTGGTGCACTTGCACACTGGGCCTGCTTGCCTCTCTCAACTGTGATTCCAGCCTCCTTGGGAGCCCTGGGTTGAAGGAGCCACCAGGATGTCCCCAGTAACCACAGAGCCTTCGTCAGCCCGCCTCCCACCCTCTGACCCGCACAACTTAAACATGACCCTGGGGGCTTGCTTCTTTTTCTTAAGGATATCTGAGACTCACATGGAGGCAGGCTGCACTGACAGGGGGTAGCAGCTTCTTGGGGGCCTCAGTTCTGAGCCCCAAAGCCCCAAAGCGGGCACAGGCTGGGGGGTGGGCACGGGCAGAGCTGCCACCGAGGGTCTCAGATCCAAGTCAGCACACTGCAGCCTTGCAGAACCAAAGCGAACGATGCTGGAAATGAATGTGGTCAGTGCAGCCAGGCTGTTCAGGGTGAGTCTCCTACTGATGGGCGGGGTCCCAGGGGCGGGGTCGCAGGGGGCGATCCGGCAAGCTGGCTCTCTGCCTTTGTTTCTCTGAGCTACAGACACCTGGTAGAGCTGTTACATTCAGTGGGGTTCAGGGCCTGTTCAGAGCAGAGGGAAATGCGTCTCCAATGAGTAATCCCAGCCCTGGAATCCACAAAAGTTCTTGATGTTTTTGACACTTACCAAAACCTAAGATTTTCCAGAGACGGACTTATAGAAACACAATGGAGTATATACAATTAGCAGGCTCCGCCTCCTCCTCTTTTTTCTTTTTTTTGGGGGGGGGTGTTAGCAGTTTAAATTTTACTGACCTCCCTATTTTTTAGAAGCTAAATCTAAGGCTTTAGGACTCTCTGCTAAGTTTGATGTGCTGTGTACAGATCGTGCAGAGAATGCTCAGAGACAAAGTGATCCACGCCCCAGAAGATTCACCAGTGTACAGAATCATCTTCATAAACACTTCCAAAATTCTTGTGGAGACAGCAGGGAGCTGTCCAGGTTGTCTGAGGCACTTTTCAAAGCGATTTTCAAAGGCACAAAATGTACGCCATGGCAAGCACACACTCTGGCCTGGGTGCCTGGAGCACAGCCCATCAGAGTCTTGACACTGTGTCTATAATGACTCTTCACCTATAGGAGCTTCTGCTTCTCAGCTGGAAGAAGCCGCCGGACCTACAAACATCAAGTAGATGACTATTCCGAAATATGGAGGGGCAGATACTAGCAAATGCAGAGACAGGTGTAAATTCAAAAGTGTTTCAATGCTTCCATTTTTGGAAAATGCAATTAAGAACCTAGGCAAGTTTGTTCTCAGAAGCTAAAGCATCACTAGTCTCTACTAAGGAAAATGAATTCCAAGAATTAACGTGGTTTTCACTATTTATTTAAAACTATTTATTTCACTATTTATATAAAAACCTAGAGACACCAATAATATCCGGTAGCTTCCAATATAAGCTAATGGCTGTTTGATGTTGTCCACTTACTGGTGCTTGCCCAGGTCTGTGTCATATGTGCACGAGGAACATACACTTGCTGTAATTTCTTGTAAGCGAGCAGCAAGTAAGGAGTCGGTGTGGGAGCTGGAGAAGCAGAAGAGCATTCAAAACATCTTCCCTGCAGTGACTTTCAGTCCAGAACCATGCGAGAGCAGCCACTCCCCCTCACGCTCCTGCAAACTTCGCACCACCTGTGACCCACTCTTGCCAGAGCCTGACTGGCCCCTGGATTCCATGTCTCTATGAGATTCGTGGGTCCCATCAGCATGGCTGGTCTCCACATGTCTATTTTCAGCCATTGCTGCCTGGCAGGCTCACCACTTCCCTGCTGCCCACGCCACATCCGGGGGCTCCCGCTTCAGTGGTTGCGTGTTTCCGTGGATGCTCCCCGATGCGGCTTCATCCGGCACCCCTTTTCAGCGCACCCCTTGCTTCCTCCTCATGGGTGGTCTGTCTTGTCTATTGCACAGTTTCCCTTGTCTCTTGTCTACTTCTGAGCTGCTAAGGCCGGTGACTTTAGCAGAAGCCGTGCCATGCCCACTGCTATGCACCAACCACGGACAATCCACAGCTGTCCATGGCTGGCGCTGGGTCCCATTCTCCTGACAGCGTAGGAGGTGTCTGTAAAGGGGTGCTGGTCTTGGGAAACCCACCACCATGATGATCAAACTCCAAGCCACGAGCGAGCAAAATGCTGTAAACGAATGTAACTTCAGGCCTTTGGTCAAACAAGAGACTTGGTTAGGCTCCAGTATAATGATGGTGGTTTTCTCAGAAATATCTGTCTCCTCCTATCTGCTCTCCGCTGTAGCACATCGTGCCACTGCCCACCTTGGGATCTCTGTCTCTGTTTTGGGCTCTGGAGAAATTCTGGAACTCTTGTGCACTTCGGAAGGAGCATGGTCGTGCTCGGGCGCACTGCTGTCTGGGGAGTCTCTCCCTCTGGTAAACGTTCACACTGCAAGAAACTAGTCCTTAATCCCAGCCAACTCTAACATGATTTCTCTAGCTCCAAACCAATCCACTCTGCACTTTGTCTATGGGCTTCACTTCATGTACAGGAACTCGCTCAGCGTCTTTCCCTGGGGGCTCAGGTGGGCAGTGTGCTCACACGCCCTGAGTCCCCGTCATGATGACCGTCCCTCTCTGGAGGTTGGCCTCTGCTCCTGGGGCTCCTTGTTATCTGCCCGGACGATGGCACTGGGAGAGAATCCTGGTGGTCTAGCGCAGTCTTTAACCCAATGATTTTAACTCGATTTCTCTGGGGAGGGTCTTGTGCTCTCATTTTCAGAAATGTGCTGGGGGATTATGTGGGGAGGAATCTGATCTATTATTTGGGGATATCAGCTGATCCAGTTTGCCTCTGCTTCTCCTCTGATGAGGAAAAAGGGCATAGGACAGAGGCTAAACCAGGGGTTGGCACTTCACATGCTGTTTGGCATTTGATGTTAGGAAAAGATTGTCAGGGTTTTTATATTTGGGGGACAAGCTTTAGAGAAGAACCACCCCTCCTTCAGCACCCAGAACCAGGGTCTGCAGGCATGCTGCGGGGGGGGGGGCTGCTGGGGCCCGGGAGTGCACTGATGCCCTGTTTGTGTTCAGAACCTGACGAACACGGTGGTGAGGACCATGCTGAGGAACGACCTGTCCCCTGAGGGCATCATCCACCACCTGAAGATCCTGAGCCCCATCCACTGTGCCTTCCAGAACGACCTCCTGACGTCATCGGGCTACACCCCAGAGTGGGGGTGAGTGAAGAGGTCTCTTCCCATTCCTCCCCAGCTCACTTCTAGCACCTTCACTTTGGATTACTTTCGGGTTTCAATCACTTGAGGACCCTTTTGTGAGACTGACAGTGGCCAGGACTTGGTTAGTAACTGCCAGATCCCCTAATTCTTGTCTTCACTTCTAAATTAGGACTCAACCAAAGAAAGCCAGATATGCACCCTAGCCAATCACATGGGACGCCTCTGTTCTAGTGAGCCCGCCCACGGCTTCCCCATGCCGATGCCTAATCAGGGCCAGCCTGGGGCCTCCCCGTCCCACTGTGAGGCTGACCACCACCCCTGCCTGTCCTCCAGTCTCCTCCAGACCTGTGTCGGGGGGCTGACACACCACTCCACTCAGCTCAAAATAGGTAGCCTTTCTTTGCCTGTTCCCATTTGGGTGGTCTGTCTTTACTTGCACACTCCTCCAGGGGTGCTTTCTGGGGAGGGGCCACAGAAGCGCACCTGCTGAACCCACCCCACTCACTCTTGCAGGGTTTATACCATTATCGAAGACCTCCACGGCTCTGGAAATTTTGTCACCGAGATGCAATTATTTATTGGGGATTCTCCTATACCTCGAAATTACAGCGTGTCTGCCAGCGATGACGTCAAGATCGAAGTGGGGCTCTATAATCAGAAGAGCAACCTCAAGGTGGTCCTGACCGAGGGCTGGGCAACGCCATCCAGCAATGCCAGGGACCCGGTCATGTTCAGCTTCATCAACAACAGGTGGGTATCGGGTGCAGCTTACCTGGGGGCCTCTGCGTTCCCAGACCCCCATGAATAGGTGGGCCTGGGTTTTCAGCAATGCTAGAGTCTCTGGGGAACGGGAGAGCTAGCGGTCCTTGCCTCCCATGCGCAGTGCGGAGGGGACGCGGTGTGTGGGCAGAGGCGCTGCCAGGAAGCCCGTCCGGGAATGGGACCAGGTGGGGGGGCCGGCTCCTGACTCATGAGTCACCGTCGCTCCCTTCCCAGCTGCCCCATCCCCAACACGCACACGAACGTGATCGAGAACGGGGATTCCAGCAAGGCCCGGTTTAAGCTGAAAATCTTCTCTTTCATCAACAACTCCATCGTCTATCTGCACTGCAGACTTCGCATTTGCATGGACTCCCCTGGGACCACGTGCAAAATAGTAGGTGTTGCGCTTTCCTAAACTTGTGTCTGGACTCGCGCCCCTGTTGCTCTGAGGAGGGTCGCTCTGTTAGCTAAAGCCCAGGGCTTGGGTGGCTCGGGGGCCTGACTTCTGGGAGGAGACACGGGGCCCTGCACACTGGGCCCCAAAAAGGAACAAAATGAGGTGTGGACAGTGGGCAGCCCATGGGTGGATGACCCATGTGACCAGATGGCTAAGCTTCGTCCTTCTGGAGGCCGTACCACCTGCTGGCCATCACGTCACATCCCATTCCTGCCCATGACGCTGTGGGGCTTCTCCTCTAGGTGGTTTAATGCATATTCAGGTGTAAAAACGTTCCTTTAATTTCATATTATTTTTAGCAACATTGATGGAACACTACTGAATCCCAGTCACTGTGATATTGAATAAGAGGGGGTTTTCCTCCCTACGTTCATCCTCACAATGGGATCTTGAATAATTTTATAGTCTCATTTCTGTAGACCTTTGAATGTGAAATATGCTTTGCAGTCCTGAGGTTGGAAAGCTATTCTTCATTCCAGACAAGTGTGTAGCTGACAATCACACGTTGTCTGCACCAAGGACAGTGTAGAGAGCTCTGCTGGCCTCGGGTTCAGCGATGGCATGTTTGTCTCTCCTCTGGGGGCTGGGCTCATCCCTGTGTGGCTCACAGAACCCCTGCAGCCTCCCTGGGTGACGAGCCTCCGAGCACCCCCAGGACACGCATAGGAGGAGAACCGATTTTGTTGATGTCACTTTGTCTCACACAGTAGATGTTGCAGAAAAAAGGACTGAAAGGCACACTGACCCCGAGATGACTACCAGCTAAGGGCGCACACCAGCCTGCACCTGTTCCAAAAGCCCCTCAGAAATACGAAGAGTATTAATACCCCAACCAGCTCTGCGAGGAGCTGCGAGTCTTCAGATTCTTTATGATACGGCTTTCCACATTCCTGTCCACGTTCTTGTAGGAGGGGTGCTGTGTTGGTGTCCCGTGGCTGCAAGAACAAAGTGCTATGGAGCCCCTGAAACAGCAGGAATGCATCCTCCGAGGGGCTGGAGGTGGGAAGTCCAAGATCGGGGTGTGGCCAGGGCCGGCTCCCCCTGAGGCTGTGAGGGAGACTCATTCCAGGCTCTGTTCTTGGCGTGTCTTCACAGCTTCCCTTTGCGCGTGTCTGTGTTCAACATCCCCTTTTCATAAGGACACAGTCATGTAGGATTAGGACCCCCCCCAATGACCTCACCTTAACTTCATCTGCAAAGACCCTATTTCCAAATAAGGTCACATCTGCAGGTACTGGGGGCTAGGGCGTCAACATCTTTTAGGGGGGAATAAAGCAGGTGTATAGTGAACGGGTCCGACCACGTCCCTGAACCTCTCTGTGAGGCAGAGCTGCAGCAGGCCATGGAGAAGGTCAAGGTGACTCAAAGCCAACAGAGGGCCCAAGCGGCCAAGGGGCCCGGGCTTGGATACGGCTCAGGAGGTGCTCTCTCGAACCTCGCTTCCTCCAGCCCCTGCTGCCCACCCTCCCTCCTGTCGCACTGGCAGAGCCCCGTGGTCCAGGCCCCTCATCCCCTCCGCTGTCTGAGCTCATCCAGAGGGTTTACAACCTACCGATCAGAGTCTCACCCTAACAGAGACCGCATTTCTCAGAGCTGATGAGTTCCGTTCAACTAATTGGAAGTTTCCTTCATTTCAAAACAACAGAACTGCAATGCCATCCAGTCCCCAAGAAGCAGTGAAGCATCTGCGACACACCAGATGTCCTGGGGACCCCTCATTCGGTCTGAAGGTGAGTTGGTGACTTGGTTGAGTCAGTTAAAGAAAAGATGCCACCGGTTCCGTCTCTCCCGAGTGTGAACCCGCGTGCCGCTACCAGGAGCCATGGGCCCTGGGATGGTCGGCAGACTCACCACAGTGGACGCAGGAGCTGGTGTTTGCAGGGAGCCCCGGATCCAGCCTAGCGTTCAGTCCCTCGCATGCTGGCCCCTCTCGGGACTCCTAGCGGGGAGGAGCCCTCGCCAGCCCCACATCCCCACACTGTTGCTGCAGAAGAAACGGCCGGGGCTGCAGGAAGTCAGCTCACGCTTAGATAAAGCTGTGTTTGGAGCTGCGTCACACGAAGCCAGTAAATTTTCCTGACACGGGATGAATGCACCGCGTGGGTTGCTGGGAGGGAGGAACTGGGGCTGCAGCAGGTCGGATTCCGTGTGTACCCGTACATGTGTGTACACGTGCACCAGTGTGCGCACGCACGAGAAAGCTGTTTATTGTGGGCTTGGCTACATCAGAAGACGCAAATAGAAAGGCATGGCTTTCTCCCTTGGTATAAAACTTCCACCATCCATGTGATTTCATTCCATGTGATTTCAAAGGCCACCATCACTTTTCCAGAAAAACATTTTATCTCCTTTGAGATTGATTTTATTCTCCTTCATGGTCATGGAACCCCAGGTTTCTGCTGGCAGGTGGCTGCAGGGAATAAACACTGTAATTCCCAGCCGACCTGGCAGCCAAGTGTGGCCATACGAGTAAGTTCTGGCCAATGAGATGCATGTGGGTGGTCCAGTGACAGCCCCCAAAGGGCTGCCCCCCACGTGCCCCTTTCTTCCTACTGCCTGGCAGTGGAGGGGGGGCAGGTACAGTCACCTGCCTGGCAGACCCTAAGGGCCTTGGGGACAGGAGCTGGAAGGAGCCCCGTTCCCAAGGACAATGCAGAGTGGGTATGCCAGGCCTGGCCTTCGAAGTCTGAGTTATGTGCCAGAAAGAAAGAAATCTTCATGTTCTTTGTCACTGCTCTTTTGGCTTTTTCTCCTTTTGTCGCTAAATGTAATCCTGGTCGAATTTCCTTTTTTGTTGTTTTTCTCCCTAACTTTGATGGCCCTCCTTGTCTCTCTTTATCTTCCTGCACAAGAACTTCGGGGTTTTGGATATGGGGTCTGGGCCCCAGGTCTAAGTGTGGCCGGGGCTTGGGAAGGAAGCTGAGGGAGCAGGAAGAGGGAGGGAGGGTCTCTTGGCCAGTGATTCCAACTGCTGGTTCTCACCCAAAGTATTTGTGAAATTTAAAAGATTCCAGGTTTGGGGGCCTACTAATGCTGAGTTTCTGGAGCTGGGCTCCAGGTCCTGGGGTCTGCACTGGTCATCAGGAGGTTGCAGGGCCCATCCTAGGACTGCATGCTTCTCCTACCCTCTTCCTTTTTTTTTTTAAAAAAAGATTTTATTTATTTATTTGACAGAGAGAGACACAGCGAGAGAGGGAACACAAGCAGGGGGAGTGGGAGAGGGGACACCAGCAGGGGGAGAGGGAGAGGGAGAAGCAGGCTTCCCGCGGAGCAGGGAGCCCGATGCGGGGCTCGATCCCAGGACCCTGGGACCATGACCTGAGCTGAAGGCAGATGCTTAACGACTGAGCCAACCAGACGCCCCTACCCTCTTCATTTTCTCAAACTACTAAGAAGAACTGGTTGGCCAGGGGCCCCAGTATGCATTCTCATTTGTAGAAATGGAACTTCTATTTACTCATGATATTATAGATAATGTCAAAACTACTGGAGTGGAAAAAGCACTGGGCTTGGAGTTAAGAGACCTGAGTTTGAATATAATGCTTCTAGTTGTGTGGTCTTGGGAAAATTACTGAGTCCTCTGATCCAATCCATTCTTCCATCATTCCTCCATCCATCCACCCATCCACCCATCCATCCACCCATCCATTCATCCATTCATCCATTTATCTATCCATCCATCCATCCATCCACTTACCCTTCCATCCCCCCATTCATCATTCCTCCATTCACCCATCCATTCATCCATTTACCTATCCATCCATCCATCCACCCAACCATCATTCCTTTATCCGTCCATCCACCCATCCACCCACTCATCCATTCATCCATTTATCTATCTATCAATCTATCCATCCATCCACCATTCCTTTATCCATCCATCCACCCATCTAACCATTCATCCATTTATCTACCCATTTATACATCCACCTACCCTTCCATCCACCCATTCATCATTCCTCCATCCATCCATCCACCATCCATCATTCCTTCATCCATCATCCATCCACCCACCTATCCATCATTCCTTTTTCCATCCATCCACCCATCCACCCACTCATCCATCCATCCATCTATCTATCTATCCATCCATCCATCCATCCACTGATTCAGCATTCCTTCTTCCATCTATCTACCCAGGATCCATCCATCTATCCATCCATGCACCCACTTATTCATTATTTCATCTGTCTGTTGACAAGCATACATCTCTACCAAGTGTCTAGCATTCTCCTTTTTCTCTGCAACATGGGTGACTACATTGTGCCTCATTTCCTTCATCTATAAAATGGGAACAATAATAATTTCTACTTCATACAGTGTCTTGTCCATAGACATTACTGGATAAGTGTTAGTTGTTATTCGTAACCAGTAGAGTACCACACTAACAACCATTGCAGAGAACACCAAATATAATATATTATATTATAATATAATATAATAAGGGTATAAATTGTTGGGCTCAAAAACGAGGACTGTAATTATTCATTTTGTTCATCATTCTTTCTCATTGTATTATTAGTTTTTGTTTACTCTGTAACTGTGCCACACAAATAGACCGAAAAAGCATTTAGAAACATGGAATCTCCCAGTTGGTGGAAACTTCACATTTTAATTGTGTACATGAACAGAAATTGTGTTGGAGACTACAGGAGTGAGATAGACTGGCAGACAGATCCCTTCAGAATTGCCCCCCTCCCACCCTGTGCCCACACTCTGTTCCCTATGCACCCACACTCTGCCCCCACCCTTGATGTGCGCCCATGCTCTGCTCCTCACCTCCCATGTCACCCACGCTCTGCCCCCCATGTGCATCCATGCTCTCCCCCACCCCCCATTCACCCACACTCTAACCCCCACTGTGTGCCCACGCTCTGCACCCCCAACGTGTGCCCCACACTCTGGCTCAGCCATCACCATCACTCCCACTATATGGAAGACTGAGAATACTTGGGGATTTCAGGGAATGTGGCAAAGATCACAGGCTGGTACCTGGACAAGCTGGGCCTCTCAGAGCAGTTCCCGGCTTCTCCTAACCCACCCTGCTTTCTTCTTCTGGGGCCTCACAGGCTTCTTCTTCCCTAGAGCTCCAGCCCTCACACCACCTGTGCTGGTTTTCTGGGGCTGGTGCCACAGGAAAACTAAGTGCACAGACTAGGGGGTTTAAAACAGGAGAAAATATTCTCTCACAGTTCAGGAGGCCAGAAATTCAAGATCAAGGTGTCAGCAGGGCTGGTTCCTGCTAGGGCAGCGAGGGAGAGTCTGTCCCAGGCTCTCCCAGCTTCTGGCATTTGCTGCTCTGGTTCTCTTTGGCTTGTATGATCCCATCACCGGATCTCTGCTTCTGTCCTCACCCGGTGTTCTACCGGGCCTCTGTGTCTTCACATGGCCGTCTTCTTATAAGGACTTGGGTCATATTGGATCAGGGGCTTCTCCTGCTTCAGTGTGACCTCATCTGAACCTAACTCATTACATCTGCAAGGACCCTAGTTCCAAATAACATCACATGCTGTGGTACTGGGGGTTAGGACCTCAACATGCCTTTTTGGAGGACACACACAGTACTGTGCCTTGGTAATGTTAAGGAAGAATCCATTTGGGCATTGTCCCTGAATGTGTGCTGCCAGCAAAGCTTATATCAGCATCACAGTTTTCTGATTTAATTTTTGGAACTCTCCCATGGCCATTTGCTTTGCTAGACACCTCATTATTTCTCACTCACTAGAGTTTCTTTGTACAAAGAGGAAGAGAAAATTTAGGTGATGTCTGCCAGATGCTCAAATGTTCCCGCAGGAAGGGTCTGGAGCAATCATTGAGGCCGATCAAGAAGTGAGGAGCCGGGAGTCCCTAGCAGCTGAGCTAGAATGCAGACCTCTGGGAGGGGCTGTTTTCCCTGGGGTCGTACCAGTGCTGGGAGGTTCTCTATCACCTTTCCCCACAGGGCGTGTGTCCCCTTCACCAAAGCACTGATAGCTTAGTGTCTTTGCAAAATGACTATTTGTGTGCATGACCCCAAGTGACCATGGTAACCCTCCCGCGCGTGGGCGCGGGCTGCCTGAGCTATCCTGGTGGAGGACCAGTTTTTTGTCAAAAGATGGACAGGTGGTCCAGCTGTGTGACCCGCATGCAGCTCACACCACACAATTGGTCTCTTTTGGCTGGGTGGACATCCCCACCAATGGCCAGGGTCATGTTGCAGGATGTGCTCACTCTCCACTTCTAGCTCTCTCACGTGGACCCCACCTGGAGCAGCTCTGGGTCAGTGGGTGGGTTAGGAGCCTTTTGCTGCAGGTAACAGAAAACCAAACCAGCTCATTCGTCCCCAGAGCCGGCTGTCTGGGCTGGCTCTGGGCTCCACTGTGGAACAGGGTCTTATCTCTTCTGTCTTCCTGCTCCAGCATCCTCAGTGTGGTCCACCCTGCTTGTGCTAGCAAGATGTCCAGCACCTGAGGCACAGGAGGAGGGCAGGGCCCCATATAGCATCCCCCAGAGGCTGGATCTAGGGACCAGCCATGTGGTAGTGTTGGGGAGGCTGGCTGTCCAGAGTCTGGGTGCCTTGGGAAGTTGTAGCTGCTCTAGCAACTGTCCCCAGGGTCTTCATCCCTCTGGAGGAGGGGATGACCTATGTTCCAAGCAGCCAGGAGGGGGTCCCCAATGCCATTGTTGGACCACCCTGCTAACTGTGCACACCTGTGCCGTGCCCTGGACGACGCAGAGCAGTGTCTACACGAGCAACGGCACAGGAAACAGGATCTGGGTGCCGCTTGTCCCCCAGGTGGACACCCCAATGTAGGAGGACGGAGGTGAGCGAGAGGCAGCTACCCTGTCAGTGGGTTGCACCTGCTCGCACTGGGCTCCAAGGCACCCTGCCTTCCTTGTGGGGGTGGGCAGGTCTCTCCACTGGGATGTGGGGGGGGGCAGGCCAGAGGGCTGTGTGGTGGCCTCCTTCTTTCTCTGGCCGGTGGGTTTCTCCTGCCGTAAAATTGAGGGGACATGCACACACCATACGGGGAACCATTTTAAAATCAACAACCCAGTGACATTTCACACATTCACCGTATTCTACAACCACCACCTCTCTCAAGGTTCAAAACATTTTCATCACCCCAAAAGCAGCTCTGCACCAATTAGGGGTCCCTCCCCACCCCCTTCCCTCAGAACCTGACACCAGTGTGCTTTCTGCCTCTGGTTTTGCCCGCTCTGGATAGTTCTCTATGTAGGGTCATAGTACATGTGGTCCTCTGTGACTGTCCTCTCTCACTCGGCAGGAGGCTTCGGAAGTTCCTTCCTGTTGTAGTGTGCATCAGGACTTTGTACCTTTTTAGGGCCCGACGATATTCTGTTGGGTGGATGGACCACATTTGGTTTATCCGTTCCTCCTTTGGTGAACGCTTGGGTTGTTTCCAGCTTTGGGCTGTTGTGGATACTGCTGCTATGAACATGGGTGTCTGGGTAGGCAAGTCCCGATTTCCAACTTCTTGGAGTCTGTGCTCTCCTCTGTTGTTATCAGCCCTCCGTGCCCGGGGAAGGCCCACGCCGTCTGTGCTGGGACCAGCCACGTGTCCTCACGCAGAGCCCAGCTGAGCCCTCGACCTCCCCTAGTGATTGTCCAGAACACCGGGCAGGCTGAGCTGTCCTGGCTGATGCGCTGCTTTCTTGGTGTTGGGACACCTGCTTGCTCACCTTTGGGAACCCACACGCACACGGGCACGTGTGAAGCCTCACACCACGGTGCTCCAGATCGGTCAAATGCAGATAATAATGGCACAAAGCAGCAGACACCCGTGGAGAGCTTGCTCCCTGGCTGCTCCGTCCCAAGCCCTCCGTTCCGCCCTCACCGCAAGGTCGCAGTGCCGGAGCCACGGGCGGTACCAGGACCTCAGAGATGCGTCCCTCCTTGTTCGGGCAGACCTCCCTCCCACCTGTGCCCGTCTCGTTGCCTGCAGGTGAGCGTCCAGGTGCGCGGCCAGGCCTGGGAGCCGGCTACCTCGTCCTCATGATGGTGGCTGTCTTTGCCTTGGTGGCGGGAGCAGGTGCCCTTGTCATCGTGCACTACCAGAGAATGACCGGCAAGTACAACTTCAGAGCCCAGTCGGACGACTTCAGCTACCAGGTGTTCTCTGAGTAGGAGGCCCGGCCGGTCTGGAGGTGGGTGAGGAGCAGGGTCCTCGCCACTGGCGGAGACTGTCCCAGGGGCTTTGGGAAGGCCTAGGTGGCTGTCAGGTTTCGAGCCCCGAGGTGCAAAGCCACGGGAAAGGTCGTGGGAGGATGGACCATTGGTTGTCAGGGACCAGGTTCTGTCGATTTGCACAAGCGCGGAGCCCAAGGAGCCAGGGGCAGTGTGGCGGGGTGAGACAGGCCACGGGTGCCCCTCAACTCCCAGCTCTGTCCCCCACTCCTGGGTGGCCCCGGGCGAGGCCCTGAGCCCCTGGTGCCTCGGTTTCTTCATTTTCCCTCGTTTGTCAAAGGGCCGTGTGATGGCGGTACCAGCCGCACGATGGCGTCTGGCACCTCGAGTGCTGCGGGGGTCCCCACGATCACCCCCTGTGCTCTGTCCCCGCAGCCTTGCCCCGGCCCCGCGCTGTCCCTCGTGTCCTGGGTGAGGCGCTGGGCACACGGCGTCTCTGCGCGGCGCTGGCCGGCATCCGTGATTTTAAATACTCGAACCCCCGGGTGTGAAGACGCTCTTCCGAGCTGTCGGAGGGCGTGCGGGCTCCTTTGTGGGCTGAGGGCGGCTGAGCACAGACAGTGCCGTCCGTCTCGGGGCGCGGTATGGCCAGTACAGGCCTTCAGTGGGGCGTGCTGGACTGTTACTTCTGTAAAGGTTTTGAGATTTTTGAAAAAAGAGGAAAAGAAAAGATCACAGGCCGCCTTTCGGCACCTGTCTGTGATTGTGCCTCCAAACACTGTCCGAGTCCATGTGGTTACGGAGGCGACAGCAGCCGGAGCTTGGCTCTGGGCCCCGGAGCCGCACCAAGGTGTCCTGGGCACCAGCCCGCACCTGCGCCCCTCCCCTGCACCTCTCCCCTACGCCCCTCCCCTGTGCCCCTCACCTGTGCTCTCTCCCCTGCACCCCTCCCCTGCACCCCCTCCCCTGCACCCCTCCCCTGCACCCCCTCCCCTGCACCCCCTCCCCCGCACCCCTCCCCTGCACCCCTTCCCCGCTCCCCTCCCCTGCCCCCTCTTCCCTGCGTGCCCTTCGGCCCCGCTGGCCTGCCCCCTCACCTGACAGGAGTTAAGGACTCAGGAGGTGGCACTGAACGCGGATTTCGGTGTTCTCATCTGACATCTTCAGCAGGGGACACAAGCTTACTTCTCTCTTGTTCTCTCTCTACTCTCACAAAACCCAGCATGGGAGAAGAACCACTTCTGTAGGAATTTCCAGTGGGAAAATGGCAACATCCCCCCCCCCCCAATCCGGGCAGCATGGACTTGCCCAGGGCCACACGGAGTCACCGGTGCTAGGGGACATTCTGCAGGAAATCCCCCCTCACCCCCGGCCTCAGTCCTGCCCCCATACTGGCCTCCCTGCCGGGCACAGAGTGCGCTGCCTGGCGCATGGGGGTGGCCATGCCCACCCTTCCTCGGCAGACCCCTGCTGGCTGGCTGCAAGGTCACATGTGGCCGGAGGGAGGCTTTTCTTCTCTGTCCTTTGGGGCTCGGTGCCCGGCTCTTCCCAGCAGTGATGGTTTTCCCTCCAATTCAGCTGGGTTTCCTGTCTGCATATTCCCCAGACTTGAGCTGCTTTCTCCCCACGCCCTTAGTGACCCTGTTGTCTTACTAGGGTTCTTTCTCTCCCCTCTCAAGCGGGCTCTCAGGGAAGGAAACTGTTTCTTACTAATAATATTAGCAAACACCCAGGAGTGCTGAGTACAGGGGTGCATCAGAACCCTTCCTAAGCACTGTACATGAGTTAGCTCATCCACCGTACACGAGTTAATTCACCCACTGTACATGAGTTAACTCATCCATTGTGTACGAGTTAGCTCATCTGCTGTACACGAGTTAACTCATCCACTGTGCATGAATTAACTCATCCATTGTGCACGAGTTAACTCATCCATTGTGCACGAGTTAACTCATCCACTGTGCATGAATTAACTCATCCACTGTGCGTGAGTTAACTCATCCATCGTACACAAGGTAACTCATCCACTGTACACAAGTTAACTCATCCACTGTACACCTCATCCACTGTACGAGTTAACTCATCCACTGTGCATGAGTTAACTCAGCCACTATGCACAAGTTAACTCATCCAGGTTCCCCACAACTGCATGAGGTTGTGTTATTACTACCTTTACAGACGGGGTCCTGGGGTGGGAAGGTGAAGGAGTGCCCTGGCAATGTAGCTAGGAGGGGACAGAGCTGGGATTCGGGTCTGGGGCCCATTCTCTTAGCTGCTGGGCCACAGTGCCTTAGACTAGACATGACCGGCCGGCCTTCCTTACACTAGCGTGGGCATAACTGGCACACATTTAGGACGAGGCCCCTGGGCTCTTCCTTTCATTGGAGACCCAGAGAAATTGTGTTTTAGCAATTTTCTAAGAAACCCACAATTCTCTCAGTGGGGCACAGGCCCCCTGCGGTGCAGGGAGCAGCTGTTGTCAGAAGGAAGGACTCTCCTGAGACCCCAAAGCCCCTGGGGAGGCAGGTGCTGCTCCTGCCGGTCAGGGCTCTCTGCCACCCTGAGGGCCCAGACAGGTGGGTGACTGGCAGTGAGTTTTGGTTCAACTTTACACTCTAATTATAAATAAGACTGCCTAGTGTGGTGCCTTCTAGTCTCTGGTCTGGGGCCCACGAAGTCTGAGTCATGTAACTGACCTGTTGCATCCTGTCCCCCATCAGGGGACACTGTCCTGGAGACATGCCCCATCTCGCTGTTGTCCCCAGCCAAGGCTGCCTTCCCCACATTCAGCTCTTTATTCTCTTGAGATAACAGAACTTTGAAACAACCCGGCAAAGTGTGGTCGCTATGGGCCCCATCCCTGAAATGAGGAAATTGGGCCCAGAGCGCTCCAGCGAATCCTCTGCATCACAGAGCAGAGACCAGATTAGCACACTTCTCCACAAGGCCATGTCCCTTTCCGTGTGACTTCGTCCTCATTAGAGAAGGTCCAGGAGCTGGTTCTGCAGACACCGGAGGGGTCATGTCTCAGCCCTCTTTGCTCCTGGGGTGCCTGATAGCTCACGTACGCATTGTCGGGGTTCTCAGAACCCTTACAGTTTGGATGGGAAAGGCTTAAACAAGGGCCAGCCCTGGAGGCCAGTCACCACCCTGGATAGAGTGACAAGGGAATTTCAGTGAATTTTATTTAATACTTATAACACGAATCCCAACGACGATGCCAACACTTGTCCCGCTAAATTTCTAAGGAAGTCTGGTATGCTGGTACCAAGGTCATCTGGATGTCCCCCCTCCTTAAAATGAAAACATCAGAGAGAAAATTGGTCTCTCATCTTTTCATTTTCTCCTGTGGCTTCCGTTTCTGAAATGAAAAGCATCTATAACTGGTTTTCAAGTTTCTGCAAAAATCTGCTCTTTGAAAAACATCAAACCGTCCCCACCAGGTTGGCACTTGGCGCACCCCATCCCCGGCAGGCCCTGTGCGTCGCTGGGTTCTCTGCAGGTAGTACAAAGGCACAAAGGCCCTGCGGGTGTGGTTGTCTGGCTCAGTCACTGGACACCAGGCCACGGCCACCATGGCTCCCATTCCTCTGTGCCTTCTGCGAGCCACTGCCCCCTCACTGTCCAGTAAGTGTCGCAGTCCTGTCCTTGGGGTGATGGGACCCCTTCACCACCCATGCTCTGCGAGTATTCCTGCATAAACCTCTCCTTTCCTGCATGCGCCCTGACCCTGGTGACCTCCTTCTCCATGCAGGTAGCTGTGACTCAACCTTGGTTCTTAATTCATCAAGCATCGATGGAAGCCTGCTCTGTCCCACATCCAGAGCTTGGATGAGTCCCAGAGGTGGTAAAAACACAGCCTCTGACTGACCCAGGAGACCCATCATCTGTATAGGTCCCAGAGAAGCAATGCCCACCAGGCGGGTGAGAGGAGCTGTTGGAGAGAGAGACAGGGTGAGGGGGATGCCCAGAGCCCTAGACATGGAGATATTCAAACCAAGCATGAATGCAGGTCTGCCACCATAAAGATCACCTCGAAAGCTCCAAAGTTTCCAGACTCGTTATCATCCTAACTGGTCCAAGTGGCCCTTTCTTGTTTTGCTCATCACTGACCTCTGTCACCTGCCACCCACTCATCCATCCATCTTTCCATCCATCCATCCATGCATCCATCCAACCACTCACCCACCCACCCATCCATCCATCTTTCCATCCATTCATCCATCCATCTACTCACCCACCCACCCACCCATCTTTCCACTCATTCATCCATTCATCCAACACTTTGTCAAATATATAATATTTCACATTTGCAAAGATATTTGACAGTTCACCTGAAGTTCTTTTAACAATAGGTCAGTCATAAATATATGCTAATGTTATTTCTAGCGGGCATATATTCTCTTGAACTTTTCTCCTGTATTACAAGCACATTGTTTTTATTTACACAACAATGACTCAAAAGACACACTATTAATATAAAAATCCTTATAAGTAGAAATAACATTATACACACACACTATTTTATATTTTTCCAAGTGTGAGGTACTATTTACCCATTACACAATGGGAAACCAGAGAAGAAATGGGTGAGTCATTTCCATAAGGTCACAAGATGAATTAATAAGGAAGTGGGTGTAGAATCTAAATTTTTATTTTAGAATGTTTTCCATGACACCATACTGATAGATAGCGCTTTTTACTTTATTTAAAACAAATTGAATTGTATCTGATAGCAAATACCTGAAAGTATAGGGTTTTCCTTGATGAACTTAGAATTATAACATGGTCATAGTTTTTAATTCATGAGATTAATTTTGTTGAATGTAACTGCTATTAATACAGAACAGTTGGAGAATGTGACTATTTTGATTCAGTGGATATTCTCAGAGTCAGTAAAGAATTACAATATGTAGTGTGTGTGGCTAAACTGTGAGCAAGTAGAATAAATTGCATGTGACACTGAAACATGACCATGCTGGCTGTTCTTTTGGTTCCGT